AGCCTTCAAGGCCTCCAGGCCCACACCTGGCCTCACCTCCCTCCTCCTCCACTCTTGGCTGCCCCCTGCTCCCACCTCAGTTTCTCCACCTGCCCCAGGGCCTTGGCATCTCCATGCTGACTCCCACTCTCTCGAGGTGGCTCGGGACTCACTTCTCAGGCAACTAGCTCTCGGGGATCCCTTTCAGCCCGCAAACCCCCCACCCCGCCCCTTCCTTCGTCCTTCTCTGTGAGACTATGGTGAACTGTAATTGTCTCTCCCAGCAAAGGCAGACTGGCCCGGGAGCCGGGCAGGGTGGGGGAGCGTGGGTCAGCGTCTTCATCTCCCCAGCGCCCAGAAGGTAACTGCCAGAGCGACGGGGTAGCAAGGCGGCGGCACTGCTCAGGCTGCAAGCCAGACTGCAGAGCCCGGACACCGGCCTGCTCCGCGGCTCCCGCCGCACCTGCCTGTGCCAGCGGCCCCGCGCGGGCCTTGCCTGCCACCTCGTGGCTGTCTCCCGCAACTGCACCCACGCGCCAGGCCTTTGTCCAGGCGCACAGGCTGGGCTGGGTGGGGGGCGAGGGCGGTGACCTAGAAACAGAATAGGGCAGGGGCCCTGAGAAGTGCGCCTTCGGGGGCTATTGGCTGGGGTCATGGAGGGCGTCTCTGAGAGGTGGCCCCCCGGGCAGAACTCCCCCCGAGACAGGCCAGCAGGCAGAGGCCGCTTGGCCGGGTGCAGCTGGGGGTGGGGGGTCGGTCCAGGCCCTGGGAGAGGACAGGGCGAGGTGGTGACACTGGCCTTGAGGTCCGAGTGGGGTCTGTCTGGTCTCCTGCTCTGCCCTTAGCTGCGGGCAGTGAGCTGGGGGGGCGTGTGGCCACCCTCTGTGATTTATTGGTGGACACGGACATCTGAATTTTGGTGTTTTTCAGTTGCTGACGCCGGCCACCAGCATCAGTACCCGAGGGCCTTGGAAACAGGCGGCGGCTGGCCTGGCCGGGAGCCACGGGGAGCTGCCGGGCCTCGGACGCCCCTGCCCGGCCTCCACCTGCCGGCCCTGAGCCGCCCACCGAAGCCGAAATGGCTTCCCCGGAGACCTCCTTCCTCGCGTGCCGTGGGGGGCGCTCGCACTGGTCAGCTGGGGGACACTGGGCACGGTCCGGGCAGTTTGCGGGCCCCCAGATCCGAGTCTTCCTGTCCTGAAGGTCGACGGTAGAGGACGTGCTGGGGATGGTCCCCGAGTTAATCTGATTGACTGGCTGCAATGGTTCACAGGATGCAGGAAGCCCACTCACCCACTGACTGCCAGTTTATTCCAGAGAGGGGACTCGGGAGGGCGGCGGAAGCCCCGGGCCGCGGGAAGGACACCGAGCCCCACGCTGTGTCCAGGGGCCACTGGCCCGGATCCCAAGGGTCCACGCCCCAGGCTCCCTGTGCTGTTTCACGGGCCCACGTCCGACTCGAGTCTGGTTAAATCACTGGCCGCGGGGGCTGAGGTCTCCCCCCGCCGGGACGCCTGGGCGGCTGGGGCTCCCACCCTCCAACCCTCCACAGGCCTCCTGGCAACCAGCCCCCATCCTCAGATGCTTCCCCAAAGTTACCTCTCAACACGGGAAATTCCAACTGTTTAGCCACACGAACGTGCCAACATCTGTTTCCGTCAATACTATACAGAAGATTCCTATCGGCTCGTTCAGGAACTCCGGATTTGCTCATCTGCCTCCAAATGGCATTTAAGAAACGATTCTCTGTTTTTCTTATTCTCATTAGACCCAGGAGAGAAATCCAAGATATAGATTCCACAAGATGGAGCAAGTAAAGACTACCCAGGGGGCACGAACCTCACACGACCCTGGAATGACCCCCAACACCCCTCTTCCCTCCGAAACTCCCCTCCTAGTTCGTCTCATCACTGCAACCCTGTCACCAGGCCGCCCGTTGTCATATAATCACGAAGCCAGGGCCTCCCTGCTGACGCAGCGGGTTGCAGCGCGGCACCAGGAAGCTCTCGCGGTCCCCGCACACCAGTCCGAGCCCCGGCCAGGGAGGGACCCCAGGGCGCAGCGGACCGCTCTGTCTCCCCGCCGCCCCCCTCAGCAGTGGGGTTCGGTACATCTGTTCTCACCGCTGTCTCTGAGGAATCCTCTCGCACCTCGCACCCGCGGCCTGTACCCCAGTTCTCTATGAATAACTAAGCCTTAAAAAAAATCATGAGGCTAAGAACCAGCTCCACCTTCCAGACATGTGCTTTCTGCACCTGACCCCCTACTCCCCTGCCCTGCAGCCCTGGCACCGGCCGCGGGCAGCCCCGGAAGCCGCCCGCCGCCCCTCACTGCCGCAGCTCGAGGAGGCGCCGTGAGACACACGTGGCCGCTATAGTGCTGGCGTCACGTTTATTTTCTTCCTCTAGTTTCCAACCTGAGAAAAGTCTGGGATGCGATAAGGCTTTCTCTTCAGAATAGTTTTATTAGTTTGCCTATGGCTTGTCAACACTCAACGCCTTCTCTGTACCGCCACACACTGCACATTCACTCGGAGTCCTCTTCGCCCCAGATCTCATATATGGTGATGTTGCCGTGAGGGTCTGTGGGCCCCCCCTGGTGCTGCAGCCGCAGGGGGCCGCTGGCCGCCATGGCGACTTTCAGATTCCGCACCTTGGACACAAATTTCACCAGGTCCATCTCGAGCTGGGTTAAGGTGTTGAACGCATAGTCTTTGTTGGGGGGAGCGTTTTGATTTTTCTTTACTGGAGAGCGAAACGTGCAGCCTCGAAGGCCAGGAAGAGTCTGCTCCTGTCAAGAAAGGGGGTGAAGCTATTGCTGACGTTGCTGGTTTTGACGCGGTCTAAGAGAGCTGGGCTCGCCTCAGAGATGGTTCCAGCCTTGTCTAGCCCGGGGTTTGGCAAACACGACGCCCATCGGGCCCACCGTCTGTTTCTGTCAATAAAGTTTTACTGGCACCCAGCTGCGCTCACTCACTCGCACCTGGCCTACATGGGTGGCTTCGTGCCGTAAGGGCTGGGTGAGGTTTGCACCAGACTCTCTGGGCTGCAAGGACAGAAAGCATTTACCCTGTGGCCCTTTACAGCAGTTGGCCACGGCCGGCTTTCGTGGGTCCTGACACTCACAGTGAGGTCTGCTGGGAGAGCGCTCTGCCCCAGGTCCCCGCTGACACTTGGTTAACGGCTCGCGTCTGTGCGACGTCCCCGCCAGGACAGGTCTTTTCCTGCACTTGGGGAGCGATGCTTTTGTCTACTCAGTTCAGCTCCTTGGAATAGGCCCAGTGCGAAGGAATGAAAGCTCAGGGGCTGCCACTCTGGACTCTTTCTGACTTGAACAAACTCAGTCTGCAGCCTATATTCTGTCACCCCATCAGAGGAAGGCCGTCTTCAACGCTCACCCTGGCTTCTCAGCTCTGGGGGAGACTGCCTCCCTGCAGGCCCGCCTACTGGGGACTTGCCGGCGCTCCCGTGGCCGGGAGGCCGGTACTTCGCACCCCACCCCATCACGCTCGACGGTGCCGCCTGCACCCCCAGAACGCTGGGGTCAACGGCAGTACGAAGCGGAGCCTCTTACCTTAGTCTTCTCACTATCTCCTCGAAACTTCAGTATCACGTACAGCACAACGATAAAAAAAAGCCAGAGCCACTTGCTCCCCAGCCAGCCCTGGGCGTGCTCCGGCAGATTCTGCCGGACCCGAAAGTGCCCCCCGCAAGGCACCTTCCCCTGGGGGTCTTGGGCCTTCTCTCTCAGAGAAGAGAACATGAAGGCGCAGCCGCAGGAGAGGCAGAGAGGCAGGAACAGGAGCCATTTCCGCGTCAGCATGGCGAGCGCAGGTCGGGGAGAAGGCTGCTCATGGTGTGTCTGTTTGCCTGGGCCCCTGGAGACGGGGCGCTGGGGCCGGGCCATTGGTGATGTCACAGAGGCCGGGAGGCAGGAGCCGCTCTGAGCATTGTGACAGGCGCCGGCGGTCGCCCAGGGACAGGGCATAAAGGGCTGGAGACCTCCGGCGGCGAGGACGGGCATCGGAAGTCCGTTCTTTCCGCCTTGTGCTCTGACCGGGCGGTTCGCGTCACTTTCCGCTTCTTGTGTGCTGAATGTAGACCTGTGGTGAGCAGGCAGATGCCCTGCGGCTGGGAGGAGCGGGCGACGTGACCCGGCGGCTGCCAGGCCCTGTCTCCGAGAGGCAACGCCGCAGCAGCACTAAGGCCGGAGGCCCTGCTCCAAAGCCGAGCTGGCCTGCGTCAGAGTGCCGCGGGCCGGTCAGAGCGGCGCTGTCGGCTCCGAACTGCAGCCCCTGGCGACCACATTCTGCCACAGCCGCCACCGCCCCTACTGCCTCGTGCTCACTCCAGCGGCCTTCCTGAGTTGCCGTCTTCGAGCTGACGACGACCACTCGTTAAATCTGGTGCCAACAGAGTGAAAGTGACAAGGGCGGCGCCGCCCGCGCCCGGAGGCTGTCCTGAGCGATGTCCAGCTGGCGAGGCATAGGGTGGGCCAGACGCCTGGCCGTGTGGGAGAGGAGGGCCAGCGGTGTGACGAGGGAGGCCTTGCTGGCCGGTGTACCTGCAAGCGTCCGTTTCTGCAAACGGGCTGCCGGGGCTCATCTGGGCTCCTGGGCACAGGTGCCTGCCGCCCGGGCGCCCGAAGACCCTTCCTAGGAGCCACCTTGCCGCGGAAGACAACTGGGCATCCGCTGGGTGCCCACGCTGGAGCCGGAGGGCCCAGCGGTGGGATCTTGACTGGGTCCTGGGTGGAGCATCCGCCACTGCCTGGGGAGCAGTTAGGGGTGACCGGGCAGTTAGGGAAGGGCAGCCTCTCTCTCGCCGGGGGCCGAGTCCCCCCAAGTGCATCGCTCTGAGGCCCCCTGCCCTGGGGTGACGTGGGCTGTTCTCCCCTGTAGCCTCTGAGTGGCTTCACCCAGAGTTCCCGCTGGGAGCCCCGAAGGGCAGCCGCCCTCTCGTGGGGGAAGGGCCCTGTGAGTGCCACCCAGGCCAGGCAGGTTCGCCTTTAGCTCTAGCAGCGCCAGAGAGAGCTTTGCAGCCGCTGGCGCCGGCACTCACGTTTCACCGGCGCGAGGGGCAGCCGCCGGCGGGAGACGGCCACTCGGGTCTGCCCGGGGCCCCTATTCACCCCGCTCGGCCCAGGCGCACCCTCGCACCCTCGTGCGTCCGCATCACCACCGTCAAGGCCACAGGCGACAGCCAGAGGCTGGGGCGGGAAAAGCCTGATTCTCGCACTCACCTGACAGTGCCCAACGCCGGAGTCGGAGTCGGGGCAGGCCCAGCCCAAGCGGGAAGACGCGGGCGAGCCAGTCGCAGGGTGGGCAGGGGCTGGCACTGGGTGGGGGGGCTCAGTCACGGTTTCCTTGTCAAAGGAGAACAGCAGACACAAGCAATCTGAGCCAGAGGAGGCCTGCCGGTGTGAGAGGAGAAGGGAGACGCTGAGCTGGAGCCCGGAAAGGTCAGGGAACGAACAGCCCGTGTGCTTGGCTGTGGAAATGTCCACGACAAAATCCACGGACGTGCACATATTTCCGATGAAAACGCCTCCACAGTCCCGTCGCACCGGGGGCCCAGCGCGCAGTCGCGAGGCCACACGGCGGCTCCCGCCCTCCCAGGCCCGCGCCCCCTCCGCTCCCGCTCGCGGGTCACCACCTCCCGCGCCGCCTGCAGAAGCTGACGGGGCCCTTGGGGCTGACCATCACGCCCTACGGGGGTGGGGGGGCGATGACACGACACTGTGGGGACCATGGGGCCGCGGTGCTTTCCCGGAACGTCAGAGGCCAGAGGCCGCAGCTTGGCTCTGGCCTTGGGCCGGGCCGCCAGGGCGCGGCCACCGCCCGAGTCTGCACACCGAGGACACGAGGACCCTCCCAAGCACCAGCCCCGGGCCCTCCTGCCGCCAGCGGCCGCGTCCTTTCTAAAGCTGCTTCTCGTGGCTTCGTCTCGCTCTCGGCCACAAGCTGCTAGAATTTTCATCGGAATGAGCTGACCACACACCGTGAGGGACTTGGAGTCTTTAATTAGTTTAAGCATCAAAGTGTACCCCACGGCTTTCTGGGCTGTGCAAGGTGCCTGTGCAGGGGGCGCCCGGGGCCTCCGCCGGTCTCCCACCCACTCACGGCGAGGGTGCCCGTGGGCCCCGGGGCTGGGGGGCGCCAGGGGAAGCGCCCCGAGGGCCGGGCTGCGGCGCAGCCTGTGGGGACGCTGGCGCGGGCGGCCGGGCTCAGAAGCAGTAGGACGTGTGGGTGACCCAGTGGGCCGACTCCTCCTTGGAGCGCTTGGCGGAGCTGTGGGTGGTGAAGAGGGACTTGTAGGCTTCCGACCCCTCGCTGTCCGCGATGCTCCTCTTGGTGCCGCCGCACGGGGGCTTCCCCGCCTTCCCAGGGGCGCTCCCGCTCGCCGCTGGAAGACAGGAAGCGCGACCGTCAAGGCAGGCCTGGCGTCCCTCCCAAGCGCGCTGTCCGGGGCAGGAAGCGCCGGTGCCCACCGGGCGTTTCCCCCCAGTCTGCCGCTGCCGTGTGCTGCCCGGCCCCGGGGGGCGCCGCCTGCGCCCACAGACGGGGCACCAGGAGCGGCGTGACGGCGGCCCAGGCTGGGGCCGCGGTGTGTCGGGGCCGGGACTGGCCGGTCACGACGCGAGACGCGCACCTCGCGGAGCTGTCTTCCTGTTTGTGAGGCGGACACTATTTGCTTCGAGGTAACGGTCAGGGAGACTGGAGAGAGAGGCCTGGCCAGTCTGCGGCAGGCCTGGGTCCAGCTCCTGGGCACCGAGGCCGCCTCCAGAGGAAACCGAGCCCTTTGCCAGCACCCGGACGCCGCGGGCTGGGGGCCTGCGTGGGTGCCGCCCTTCTCAGCCCCGGCCCGCGCGAGCTGCACGAGCTCTTCAGAGACCTGGTCAGGACGAGCTTGGTCTTCCCGAATCCAGCTTCCGAAAGGGCTCCTGCTCGCGCGCGAACCCACCTGTGTTTTTGGGAGCCGAGTTGACCTTCTTCTCCTTCGCATCAAGGCTGGTGTCTTCAGGCTTCCCAGTCTTAAGTCTGGATGGTCCTGGGGATTCTGGGCAAGGAACAATGTCAGCAAACTAGAGCCAAACCAGGACCGCCTTGGGACAGGCCCCAGCGCCCACCTCCCTCCACTCCCCGGGGACAGGCCCCAGCGCCCACCTTCCTCACTCCTCGGGGACAGGCCCCAGCGCCCACCTGCCTCCCTTGTCTGGGACAGGCCCCAGCGCCCACCTCCCTCCACTGCCTGGGACAGGCCCCAGCGCCCACCTCCCTCCACTGCCTGGGACAGGCCCCAGCACTCACCTTCACTCCCGTCTGCCCTTGACACCAACTCAGCCGCCTTGGGCTTCTTTGTTTTCTGTGAGAGAGAAGACACCAGCGACGAGCAGTCAGCGCCTGGCGGCTGCCCGGCCCGGCCGGGGCCTGTGACCGCGGACGCAGTGGCCAGGCGGGTGCGGTCTGAGGGGACGCCGGCCCCGCCCACGCCTCGCACACCTCAGGCCCCTGCAGGTGCTTCTAGGGCCAGGTTTTGCCTCACGAGAATGTGTCTGTGGAGACCTGCTTAGTTTTGTAATTAGAGTCCAAAAACCTTACACGCTCAGAAATGTCGAAGGACGACGACAGATCCGTGTGCTCGTCCTGTCAGCAGGGAGCTCTGTGCCCCAAAGAGCAGGGAGCCGGCAGCACCCACCTGCGCCGAGGCCCCCACCCCCGTCACTCCATGTGCCGGCTGCTCTGCTGCTCCCTGCGCTGGAGGCCTGGAGACTTGGCGCTCTGGCCGCTTCTGACCACCTGGCTGCCCCGGCCAGGCTCCCGGGCACTCGAATTCTGACTCTCCTGTGACAGTCGCTCAGCAAACACTTTTTACGGCAAACTTCCACCCCAGAGCCGTCCAGCTGCCTCAGCAGCAGTCAGGCACAGCCAGTTTACTCTCACAGTGCCATTCCCCAGGTTCCCAGAAGGTGGCGCTGCAGACACGCAGCCGGTGCTCTCCAAGGTGGAGACAGGAGAGGCCGTGGATGGCGCCATGTATAATGTCTGCACAAAACAGAGAAACTCCTTCCCGCGCGTGCAGGCGTGGGGGGAAATCCTTCAAAGAATAATGCAGAGCGAGGGCTTCCCGGAAGCGGGGGCCCAGGGGAGGCAGTGCGGCCCAGTTCCAGCTGTGCGCATATTTGGGAAATATTCTGGTGCCCTGGTAGCAGTAGCTACGTGGCAGTCCCAGGAGCTCCGGGGAGCGCGGCTGTGAGGTCCGCTGGGTTTTGAGTGACCTGGCAGGGAGCGGGGACAAGCAGAGACCCGTGGGGTTGAGGCGCTTGCTGGGGAGCGCGGCCCGCTCCCTCGCGCGCCTCAAAAGCTGCGCAGCTTGACGGGAGCAGCGGCGGTATCCTCGCTCGAGAACCTCCCAGGCCTCTCGTCTTGCTCCAGGCCGGCGGACAAACGCAGCCGTCAGGGCGCCGACCCAGCACGAGCACGTGCGGCCACACTCGCCCTCGCCCCGAGCCGCCTCGCGCGCGACGCGCAGCCGGTGGTGTGTGAGCTGGGCCCCGAGAAGCTGTGTGAAAGGGCGGCAGCGTGGAGAAGGCGGGACGACTAACACCGAGGAGAAGCGAGTCGCCGCCTCCGCCTCACAGCCACTACCTTGGCTTCGCCGCCTGGTTCACGCCACGAGGGCCTCCGGGGCCTGGCTCGCCCAGGGCACTGCTGCCATCCTCTCAGGCCCGGCTTACACCCCAGCCGAGCCACGCACCATCCCAGCACCCCCTTCTCTGCTGCGAAGGGTGAATCGGCCCCGAGGCCAGTGTGTTGGCACCGTGGGCGCGCTCAGCCTCTGCACGGCTCGCCCGTGGTCCCCCCTCAGCTTCTTCTCAGTTCCGACCCCATTCTCTCATGTACCCTGAACCTAACTTAAAAAAAAAGGAGACCAAAAATCCGCACAGCTCTCTTGTAAACACAGGACTGCGGGTCGTGAGGCGGGGCGACCCCGCTGCTCACGGAGCAGGGCAGGGGCCCCGTCCTCCCTCCTACCCGCAGCTCAGCCCTCAGAGCCCGAGCCAGGAAGGCTTCCGGCAGGCCTGCCCGGCCGGGTCCAGAGGCAGGAGGTTCTCCCCCCCAACCCCTCCTGCTTCACAAGCTCTGACACAGGCAGGGGCCCAGCCCAGCCCCAGGGCAGTGGAGAGCAGCCCCGAGAACTGTCGCACCCCTTCACTCCCTGGAACAGCGACTGCGGGGCCTGGCCCCCACGAGGCTTGCTCCCCGACATCAGCTTCCTCCGGGAGACCCTCTGGCAGGGCAGTGGGCTTCGTCCTGGCCCCTCCTTCCCCCTCCCTTTCCTCGCACAGGGCGGACCCTCACCTCAGCTTCCATGGCTTGAGTCCACGTGCACCAACCTCGTTTGGGGCGGTTCTCCTCCAAGTCCAACTCTAAAGGCGTTGGCGGGGTGGGGGCTCCCCCTCCCGGCACGCTCACCTTGCCCAGCTTGGCCCTCTGCCTCCTCTCCTCCATCCTTTCTCTCAGCATGTCCACGTCGGCCTTGGTGCCATTGAGCACAATGACGTCGTCCTCCTGGAATGCAGCCCCACACTGGAAGAGAGAGGAGGGGTGGCAGGTTTCTCAGCGTGCAGGGACAGCTACCTTCCCACGCTCGCTCAGTCGGTCCAACCGATCTCCCCAAGCGCCGGGGAAATGCCCACTTGGGTTCGGCCTGTCCTGGGGTCCGAGCGCCTGGGCAGTTTCTGGGCACGCGAATTAGCCAGGGGGGCCTGACAGTGCTCTCTGGGGAAGGGCCTGGTCTGCTCCCACCAGCTCTGACCACGCGGGCTCCCACTGGACCTCACCCCTGCTGTGCAGAAGGGGCCCAGGCCAAGGCCGTGGTGCACGGTGGGCAAACACCTGTGGAGGGAACGAGGAGCAGTATTTACCGAGCACCAGCTGCTGGCACCCAGGACATTCACGCACAGGAGCCGGGGCGCGCCAGCTGGGCGGGCCTCAGACACAGCCCAGACTGCGCAGACTTGACTTTGCATCAGAATTTCAGAGTCAGGAGTTTTCGGGTATTTGCAGTTCTAGTGCTTTCTGGGGGATGCAGATGCTGCCGGGGGGAGCCTTGCTTCGAGAACCCCAGTTCTAGAGTTCGGCCATACAAGCAAAGGGCTTAACCCCAGCGGGAAAGGGGAAGGACCTTTCTGGGGCGCAGCTGCAGCTCAGCCTTTCCTGGGCCGCCCTGCCCCGCCCCGGTGAAGCCCGCGGGATCCCTGGGGAGCGCCTGATGGGCACAGGGCCAGGCCCTCTGTCCCCCAGGCTGTGGGTCCTCCAGGGTCCCACTGCCAGACACATCCACCAGGGTGGGCGGCGGGGCGGCCGGGAAGGGGGCAGAGGTGAAGAGGAGGCTGTTTCCCCATCATAGTGGGGATGGGGAGGCCTAGGGGAGAAGCAGCCCCTTTGGGGAGGGCCCAGGGAAGTCAGCCCACAGGGGGGAGAGCCTCCCCTTGGGGGCCTCCTCCTTGGAGGGAATGAGAAGAATCTTGGGGATCAGAGGCAGGTGGTAGATGAGGCCCAGTGCGGTTTGGGGCTGGGGCTGGGGTCCGCGTGCTCTCACTGCCCGCCGGCTCCACTGCCCTGTCCCCGCGCTGCCCGCAGCGGCCCGCAGCAGTAACTGCTGCAGGAGAGAACAAGGCCGCAGGAACCTTCGCGCCGCTGTGAAGTGCAAAGCCCAGCAGCTCCCCAAGGTGTGATTTCCGGCTGCACCGGCAGAGCGCCCTTCACCCACCAGCTGGTGGCGAGACCCAGGCTCATCTGGCGCACAAGGAGCCCGCTGTGCCTGGCCCTGGGAGCACGAGCGCCCCCCTGGGTGCTGCTGCACCACAGCCGGCCTCGCCGGGCGCTTCCTTGCCAGTGTTTCTGATGGTGAGAATGTGGGCCCTGGGCGGGCTCTGCTCCCCCAGCGCAGCCAGCGGGAACTCACATGTGGGCAGCCCGAGGCATCCACACGCCTGGAGGGCCACGACTTTCCTGTGGTGCCCACAGGGCCGGATTGGGGGCTGGCCGCCCACAGGCCTTGCCCTTCCCGGTCCCCCAGAGTGACCCAGTCCCTTCGAGGTTCACGGTCTCTGAGCACCTTCAGGCAAACTGAAAACACGGCAGGTCGCGCTGCTGAGAGGCCGTGGCCCTGCTCTGACGGGTGAGACTGGCCGGCCAGCAAAGCAAGCCTTCTGGGGGGGCACGGCCTGCGCACAGTCGTGTCCCGCCGGCTGGCAGGGAGTGCGCCCCGGGGAGTCCGCCTCCACGGCAGGGCCTGCGGTCTGTCAGCTTCACGCCTCTCCACAGGGGTGTCTGTGGTGAGCCTGGGAGTGCCAGAATGCGAAGCTCTCCACACCAGGGAAAGGCGGGACGGGACGGGTGCAGTGTCCCCTGGGAGAGTCGTTAGCAGAGGCGAGAGCTCCGCCTTGCCGGCGCCCCACAGCCTCGCCCTGGGCGGAGCCAGGCTCCAGGGGAGCACAGCCCCTGCCTCCCCAAGATGAGCCTGGCAGGCAGCAGGCTGAGGACTCCTTGGGCAGCAAACAGGATTTTAAAATGACTCACTAGTCCCTTCAATGAGAAAGGGTCAAATTTTGCCTCCTATTCGTAAAACCTGCCCACGACTGCCAGGAGCCACCCAGCTTTCGGGACGTGAGCAGCTCTCTGGAGCTTCCGTTTGCGTGAAGGCACCAGCGCGGCAGCTGCTGCCGGCCCAGCCCGGGCTGGGCGCGAAGAGGCCGGACACCTGCCGAGGTGCCCGGGGAGAGCGGAGAGCGGGAGGCGGGCAGCTGACGGGAGAGGAGTGGCGCTGACCGGGCCTGCCAGGTAGGTGCTGCCTTCCCAGCACAGCGGGCGTGTCACAAAGGCCCCAGTGCACAGGGCAGGCATCGCCTTCTCTCACGCAGGGCTCCCATTTCTTGCCAAGCTCCAGGCCCCGTCCAAATCCTCAACGCTCACTTTGTGCCAGGGGTAAAATGGTCTCGCTCTTGCGGTCCAGGGGCTACCCTGGGGCGGGGCGCCCCTCCGGAAGGAGGTGTGTGCTCTGGGATAAGCAGTCGGCAGCGGTCTCTGAATTCAAGATCAGCCTCATGCGTGAGGCACATACGCGAAAACTGCTAACTCTCGGGTGCTCTGGACCCAGAGGCAACAGAAACAAGACACAGACGTCTCACTGCTCGGGGATTTCTAACGAGGTCCGTGGAGGCTGCGCCGGGCACGGGGCTGGGGCTGCGCTGGGGCGCCCGCAGGCGCCGACTCAGGACCCCAGGAGCCGACCCCTCCCCAGCACTGTAACTCCCACAGGCGCAGGGGAACCGTGTCCCCAGGGGCAGGCACTACCGCCCGCTGCGCTCCAGAAAACACTTCAGGGAGGCGTCACCGAGCGCCCCAGCTCAGGCCCCGACGCAGATCCATCCCCTCAGCCCACCGGGAGTGCGGGCCATCGCTGCTCTGTTTTTTGAATGTAAAGAATGAAGAAGTTTCTTTGAGTTAAATACACTGTTGAATCTGGTCAGACTAACGTTCATGCTCTAAAACCGTAATATTTGAATACACTGATGTCAGTGTAAATTAAAGCTCCATAATAAGTATTAAAATATATGCAAATGAAGCCCCATGATAACAGGTCAGAATGGGTACCCTGGGGTGAGCCCACCCCTGAGGTGGGGCGGGAGCGGGGCTGGCTTCAGGGGCAAGCCCTCGCTGTTGGCCTTGGTCCTGGCGGGAAGGCCACGGCAGGGCGTGAGGACAGGGCAGCAGCACGGTGGACAGGAGCCCTGACAGTCCCGCCGCCACACAGCTCTGGCGACACACGCACAGGTGTCAGCGATGGCACTGTTACTGGGCGGCTCCAGCACGGCGACGAGGGCGACCGTTCGCACGGTGACTGCGGTGCCCGTGCCCACTCAGAGGTCCTGCAGTTTGTGTCTTAGGTCCTCGGCCAGCTAAACCGCAGCCGTGATCTTCTGCGGGGAGGCTACCAGCGTCACTGCTGCTATATATTTTAATGACACTTGCTAGCCACGGCCGCAGATACAGAAGAACCAGAAACTGACTGACCACAGAAGGCCCAGGAGAGCTGCTTCGAGGAGCGGAAACACATGAGACGGGCTGCCAGCAGATACCGTGCAGAGTAACTCGTGGGGAGCAGCGGTTAAGAATCGGTCAGCGGCACCTGTTCACAAGTAGCGTGCCCCCCAAAACTTGGAGACACCACGTGCAGCCCGAGCGTGGGCACAGCGGGCACTGGAGAGTGAGTCTGCAGGACGGAAACGAAGAGAACAGGACTGCCCCCCCCCGGGAGGCAGCGGGCGGGGCCACAGTCTACAGGGAAACGCCGGCTGGGGCCGTTCCCTGGGGTTCTGGCTCCAGTCGCTGGCCGAGGTCCAGAGAAGGCGGCCTGGAGGCCGACTCAGCCCCGCTCGGCATGCGCCTGTGTCCGAGGGAAGGCTTAGGGGCGCTGGGCCAATGTGTGCAGACCGGGGAAGGGGAGACTCGCCCCAGCGAGCCGCGCTGTCCCCACAGGGCGGAAGCAACCTGCCCCCCAGCCCAGAGGTCAGGGGCCTCCCCCGCTGGCTTCACCGAATCTTCATAAACTGTGGACAGGCCGCCTCGGGGCCAGGCAGCAGCTTGCACCGCCACTGACCTCACTGGCCTTCCGGTGCCACCAGGGTGCTTGGCCATAAGCTTAAAAGCGAAACGAAGGCAGAAACGAAGAAGCCCTCCCGAGCGCCCTTCCTGTGCGAGAGCTTCAACACTGGAGAAAGTACAACAAAATGGGGTACCAAGTGGGGCCTTTGCCTTTCACCCAAATCCTGAAAGACAGGCAGTGAAAAGCCTTGTTTTACTTCATTCACGAGGCCTTTCTTCCTCCTGGACCTCTGCCTGTAGGGGCGGGCCTGGCGGGCCGCTCCGGGAGTGCGTCTGGGTAGTGGCTGTGGAGTGTGAAAAGCACCCTGGCTGCAGCGCTGCGGCGCCTGTGTCCGGGCGATCACCACGTCGGGGACGGGGCCGCGCCAGCAGGCACACCGGAGTCTGGGCGGCGGCTTCCAGCTTGAGGCGCGCAGGCAGAGGGGACGACAGGGCGCCCACGCGCCACCCCAGCCCAGGGCCGCAGTGCGGCTGCTCCTGGCTCACGGTCAGGAGCTCTGGCCGAGACGCGGAGGGCGAGGGGCCGGACACGCGCCGGGGTCAAGGCCTAGAAGCCAGCAGGGTTTTGAGACTGTGTAAAGGAATTCATAAACGCGCCGGCAGGGGGACGCCAGCCCCACATGCTCGCCGCGCGGAACGTGCCCCTTCTCCGTCGGAACGCGTCACCCTTGCACCGTGGCCAGAATGAGGGTGCGAGTCAGCTCCATGCAGAACAGCGCAGTACCTGTGTCCAAAAGAAACACCTGCGGTCTCTCCCTGGCTATCGAGATAAGGGCAAGAACACAGGACACCGGCCCTCAGCCCCCAGGCTGGCGCCCAGTGAAGCCGGGACTCACGACCGCTCCGCTGGGGGCCCCGATCTCGAACCTGCCCGCCCGGCGTGGCGAGGGCTCACCTGGCCCGGCCGTGCTCGCATGCCCCGGACACCTGCGCACAGGCGCTTCATTCAGCCTCTTGCACCCCGAAACCGGAGACCACGCGATGCCCACGCCAGAGGTGGTGCGTCCACCCGAACCACCGCTCGGCCCTGAAGGGGACACTGGTGACGGCGCGACACTCGGCGTGCGGCCCCGGGCCTCACGCTGAGGGCGCCTGACCCCCGTCGGAGCTCAGCGCTGCCCGCAGAGGCAGAACAAGTTGGTGACTCCCGGAAGGGTGGGGGTGAGGGGAGGAGGAAAGGGGGCCCAGGGTGAGTTTAGGGAGCAGGTCGCGCAGGCACAGAGATACCCACCACGGAGCAAATCATTCGTACGCGTGTGCACCTGACTGCGCGGGGAAACTAAGCCCTGCCCGTTGTCCTTCCAGGAGCCGTCAGGGAGCACCGCAAGGCTGGTGAGGAGGCGCGGGAGCCGGAGCATGAGCCCGCTGCGGGCCAGGCCGGGGCTCCTGGTGTGCGCCGCCCTGGGCGTCTTTGTTTTCCTCTACCTGCGGGACCCCACTGCCGAGGAGCCCGGGGAGGGGCCCCCACGGCCCCCGGTGGTAGAATGTGGCTATTACCCAGATGAGCTGTGCTCAGCTTTGTTCGCTGGCAAAGAGGCAGCCCCCCAGGTGGCCAAATTCTGTAAGAACCCGCAGGGGTCTGAAATAGGCGCTCACTTCCACGCTCCAGGAAACTGCTCGCGGCTGACCCGGGGGCTGCGTTTCATCACCAGGCCCCTGTCGGCAGAGGAGGGCAACTTCTCTCTGGCCTACATTATCACCTTCCGCAAGGAGCTGGCCGTGCTGGTGCAGCTCCTCAGAGCCATTTACGCCCCGCAAAACGTCTACTGCATTCACGTCGACGAGAAGGCCCCGAGGAAGCAGAAGGCGGCGGTGCAGGCCCTGGTCAGCTGCTTCGAAAACATGCTCCTCTCACCCCGCAGCGGGGAGGCGGCGGCCAGCGGCCCGACGCGCCTCCAGGCTGACCTCGGCTGCATGCGCGCGCTGGCCCGCCCCGCGCTCCGGTGGAGCCACGTCCTTAACCTGTGCGGCCAGGACTTCCCCATCAAAACCAACAAAGAAATTGTACACTACATCAGAAGCAGGTGGAGAGATAAAAACATCACCCCTGGGGTCGCCCAGCCGCCCAACAACGGATCCACGACCAGTCCCGGCGCGCCCGAGGCGCCCCCCGACGCCAGCGTCTATGCCGCCCCCGGGCAGACACTCAAGGAGCCGCCTCATAACTTGACCGTCTATTTCGGCAGCGCTTACTACGTCCTGACGAGGAAGTTTGTAGAGTTCGTGCTGACCGACACCCGTGCGAAAGACATGCTGCAGTGGTCCGCGGGCCTGCGCAGCCCGGAGCGCCTCTACTGGGCGACGCTGAACCGGCTGAAAGGTGAGACAGGCCGCAGTCCCCGCGTGGGTCAAGGCAATGGCAGGTGCCGATTCTGCACTGTGCCTCCCCGGCACTGGCACTGGGGTGGGCAGTTTTGCAAGACTTTCCTTGGGGCGTACAGGAGGGTCTTTGGCCCAGGGGTCTGGTGCTGGAAGACAGCACGCCCGCCTCCAGCCGGCGCTGGTCTCCTCAGACGGAGCCTTTTAAAAAGTCTGGGCACAGAGCTCTGGAGCCTTCTACCAGCAGCCACCAGCGCGGGCATGGCGTGAGGGCCTCTGGGGAGGGGACGTGCCAACCAGTAGGTGCCTGGAGGTGGCTGCGATACTTCGGGTGGCAGCGGGAGGCCTGGGCGGCCTGCAGGCGGGTGCCCTGGGCAGGGCTGGGGCTCCTGGCAGGGCGGCTTCACGTGAGTGGCTGAGGGCCCACAATGTCAGGACAGACAACCCAGCAGAACTGGTGGGAGCTCTTCCTGAACGCTCAGGTACCCTGGAAGTCCTATCAGACTGGGCTCCGTCCCAGCAATTCCAGCGGTCAAAATCTACCCAATCTGATCACCACACGCGCTACCTGAGCTCCTGGGGAGGAGGAGGGGTGAGAAGTGAAGTGTCTGCACAAAGTGGAGCTGTGGCCCCGGGCCGCCTGGCCGCAGCGGCACAGCTCGGCCTCCAGCCAGGGCGGCCTGACTGAAGGGGAGCCGCTCCCTCCACCTTACGCGATGGAGCAGCAGAGAGGGCGGCGCAGAACTTGTCCTGCAGAACTGGGCAGAAGCTGGGCTCACAAGGGTGCTCTTCGGTTCCTCCTCAGATGCTCCGGGAACCACACCCCACGCGGGCTGGGAAGGCGACGTGCGGGCCGTCAAGCGGAGAAACGAGGAGGGGAAGGGCCACGATGGGTGCAAAGGTGAGCACAGACTCCCAGCCCCCGAAGTCCCCGCTGCTCAAAGCCATACAGCGGCTGCCTGGCCGCGGTGGGGGAGGCGGGTGGCCCCACGACCGTTCTCTGGGGTCGGAGACGAGCCGAGCTGTCCGTGTGGGGGTCACCTTTAAGTCCCAGCATGAGACCCACACAGACGAGCACCCAGACCGCAGCTTGCAGCGGGTAGACAGGGAGCACACGACAGTTTTCACATAAAAATAAACGCGCTGCCCGGCTTTCCCACCTGCTCGAGAACCCAAATTCAAGTTTTTCTTTACAACGAGCCCCCTCCCTGGGTCTCTCAGCACAGAGCAGTGAGCACGCCCCTCCCCTCCCCGCCCCCCCCCCAAGGCAGCTGCTACCACCTGCAGAGAGCCTGTTTCTGAAGTAAAACTGCCCTGGCCCACACATGCCCACCAACGGACTGCTTGCAGCGAAGGGCAGGACTGACCACAAAGCCAGACGGTCACTCCGGTCCTTCAGTCCGCTACGCTGCTCTCGCATGACGGGCTTCCTGCCTGCTCAAAGAACTGGGGAAAATCTGTCACAGGTTTAGCGGCTGCACCCCAACAATGGTCTGTGTGTTTTGAACAAGCTGTGCGCTAAGTCTCGCCGCCATAGGTTAACTTAGCCCACGCAGTCACGGGCGACCTCTGCCGACTGACCCGGCTGGCCAACAGGCTCACGGCGGAGGCTGTCAAACCCATGTCTGACTTCATTGTTAGAGTCAAGCCACTGTTTCCTCACGCGTCCTTAGCAACGTCCTTGCTCCAAAATCCCGGCTGCCTGAAAGCCGCTGATGGCTGAGGGCAGACTAAGATGAAAGGTCACGAGTGCGGCGAGGAAGACCCAGGGTTTGAGCATGGAAACCAGACATGCCCACAGGGCTGAAAGACCTGGTTGTTGCAGTCTTCAAAAAACCATCCCCTGAGCAAACACTCTAGAAAGTTCCTGCCCTTGCTGGTTCAGGGTGGGAGGCAGGCCAGGGCCACCCACCTTGGGCAGAGCAGCAGAGCAGGGCGCTGACGCGCCTCAGGAAGAGGTCAGCGCTACTCGCACAGCAGGCCCCAGGGGGACGCCGGGTTCGGAGAGCTGAGGTTACTCAGTCACAGGAAGGGGCAGAGCTGCTACTCTGCGGGGTAGGCTTGTGGCCCAGCTCTGCACGCAGGGCGACAGCGCCCTGTCACTGTCAGCAACAGCGAGGGGGCGTCTCTATCACCAGGGCCACGTCAACACGACCCTGAAACTGTCCCTCCAGTCCAACCCGCGCACAGCATGGACAGAGCTGTCCAGCGGTAGCCCCGCGCAGCTGACTCCGCGAGAGCTGTCTTCGTACCTGTCGCCTCAGCTGGCTCAGGACAATTCTGCGGTCACGGTGCCCAGGAGCGTCGGGCGTGACAGCAGGGCCACCTGCATGCCTGCCGCCTCAGGGTCCTGCCCTGTCCTGGCCGCGCCTGGCCCTCTGACTGGCCTCGTCTTAGAAACTGGACTCTTGGGCACGGGTCCCCCCGCCTTATTAATAACAGCATGTCCTTAAGGTAGGGCTGGGCTGACTGGCATGCGGAGCAGGGCGAGGCGAGAGCAAGTGGCCAGCACCGTCCCGTGCCCCAGCCGGGCGCTCACCTGGTGGTGGAGGGGCTCCATGGGAGCAGGGAGGGACCCCACAGCGGCAGGCCCCGGAGCACGTCACTGAGTCCTAGAAGGACCCGACCAGCACTGGACCCCAACGGTCCTACCAGCTGAGTTACTGCCACGCACGAACCCACTCCAGGAAGGGGTGACGAAAACCAACGCAATTCTTGGGATCTGCTCAGACTCAAGGTCGGGCCCTAAAGTGCAGGACCTCGGGTGTCAGCAGGCGGAGAGCGCCGATCCCTGCCCGGCAGTCCGCCCACCTGCAGGAGCCTAGAAACCTTCGAGAGCACTGCCCGTGAGGACGGGAGCTCCTTTTCTATCTCGGCTCCCAGAGCTGCGTAGAAGGCCCTGTCCCGGCAGCCACACACGTGGAATCTGAGCCCCGGCAGCAGCGCCACAGGTGACACCGGAAGGGCAGCTCGGCTCTTCCGGGCGCAGCCACCGGCCAGAGCGCGGCGGCTGAGCCCTGTGTTTGGTTTTGCAGGTCACTACGTCCAGGACAGCTGCGTGTACGGCCCGGGAGACCTGCCGTGGATCATCCAATCCCCTTCGCTGTTTGCCAACCAATTCGAGGCCTCGAGCGACCCGCTGGTGGTCACCTGCTTGGCGAGGCGGCACCGGCTGCGGGTGCTGCGGGCCGCGGAGGTGCCCGTGGAGCCGCACTGGCGCTTCGACCAGGAGGGGCACTTTGACATGAAGCTGAGTGCCGAACGGTGAGCGCAGGGCTTGCTTTCTCCCGGCCCTCGTGGTTCCCTCAACCGCAGACGGCAGCAGACGCGGCCCGGGAAGAGGGCCGTCCGAAAATGAGTCAGAAACAGGCGCTGGCAGGATGTCTCGCGGGCCAGCGGCAACTCCGAGGGGACTCGGGGGAGAGTGCGGGGACGGGCCCCGCCGCACCAGGGAACAGCTGGTGGGAATCAAAACCCTCCACAGCTTCGACCCAGGTTCAAGTTGGAGGACCTGGCGCCTCCAGCTTGGGGACACTACTGCGCTGAGAGTCTAACAAAGAACAAGCACCCAGGGAGAAAGAACATTGCTCACCCAAGACAACCCGCCTCGGCTGGGGACTATGTAAGGTTCTGGGAACCCAGGGAGACACAGGAGAGGTCATCCCCTCAGATAAACGAGTGACTCTGAGTTGAAGCACAACTTCTTAAAGGGCTGCCAGAAGTTTCAGCGGAGCTGCGGTGTGGTCAACAGACATCCTGGAAGGTGCAATGCCAACCAGCCCTTCACGGGGCCTGGGGGACCTGAAATGTGTCCAGTGTGACTAAGTGAATCTTAAGTTTGCCTGTAACCGTTTAAGGCGGCCTGTGAGTCCTGGGCTTGCTATTCCCAAAGACCAGCAGGTGGGCAGAAAGCAGAAATACCAGGAGAAATCAGGGCCGGAAAAGCAGCATTCAAAGACCGCCAGGAAGAGACCCCGGCCTGACCCGCCCCGGCCCTTCCACCCCACCACTGGGCCCCGCAGCTACGAGCGGGCATCATCTGTCAATTCTGGCCTGAACGCTGCCCCAGCACCCCCATGCAGGGCAGCCAGCTGGCAAGTCAGGAGCAGACATGGACAGCTCAGCCCCACAGCCACGCCAGCGCTCCTCAGACGCAGTGAGCACCAAGTCCCGGGGACCCTGCCGGCCTGGAGATCCTGACCCCAGGGGCGGCGGGCGGGCCCAAAGCCTGCATTTCTTAAAACAGGGCCACTGAGACCTCGTAGGCATCGCCGACCTGCAGGGCTGCGGCCCGGGCTTTGAGGAACAAGCACGCCCTTCACTCTGCGACCTGTAATTACTCCGAGGCGTTTCTTCAGATTGCACGTTGGGAAGAACACAACGGGGAATACCATGAATTTTTTGGTTGGTGATTTGTTTAGGCTGAAAACAAACGCAAGCCTAGCAACAGCATCTCTCTGGACCCTGCTTACTGAGCTCAAGCATGCACACCTGAGCTTCTGAACGCGGCACCAAGACTCCAGTCCTCGCGTCTCTTCTGAGATGAAGCCAAGTGCGGGCGGGGCTCAGGGTGAGAGCAGGGCCGGTGCCCTGGATACCGCCCCGCCGCTCGCTACCGCAGCGGGCGCCTCTGAATTCAGACATGCCTGAAACACGCTTACACCTGCCACTGCGGCTCAGCTCCCTCACCTGAGCTTTCAGAGCACCTGGCCCCTGGAACTGCATGCCCGCTCTTCCCATGGCAGAAGGCCTGGCTTCGGCCTCCTCCTGCGGACGCAGCTTCACTGCCCTTTTCAGGCCCCTCCCCTAGGGTGCGGCCTCCGGATGGGCCATCGGGGCTGAGCACCAGGTCCAGGCCTGTCTCACCTCCCCCAGCGGGAAGCTCCCACAACCCTTGCAGTCGGCCGGACCGGGTGGGGAGGGTGCCCAGAAGGTCGAGCCCCAGGTGGCGGGGCCGAAGTCCCGGAGCTCCCCAGGCTGGGGCTGTCCGCGGCGTCAGGCACTCGGCCCGTGCGCCGAGTATCGGATGCACTTAGCTCAGCTCTAAGTTCAGAATCGCCACATCAGAGCGACACTGATGACAGCAGGCAGGGTGTTTACTTTCAAAATGCCATCGCTCGGAAATCTGGAGCTAAAGGGAAAATGTCTGAGAATTTACTTTACACGCCAGCATCTGACACCCTGAGGTGACGTGACATTCCCAGGCCGACGCCAGCGCCTTGGCCAAAGCCACCGCCCCACGCCCCGCGCATGGCCGCCCGGTTCCGTGACTCCCGGCAGTGGGGTGCTGCAGCTGAGCGGTGTCCTCGCGCCCCACCACCCCCTCCCTACGCGGAAGTTCAGAATGGGGCCTGCCCTGGAGTCCACTGACTCCCATGAAGTCGCCGTCCAACAGGAAATCAGAACCCAGATGGACGCCACAGGAGACCGGGGCAGGGCCTTCTAGCCGGGGAGGGCGGCCGGGCACGGAGGCTGTGCCGCAGGCCTGGGCGAGGGGCAACTCTGCCCCAGCCCGGGGGTGTGGGCACCTGGCCTCTGGGCTGTGAGGCAGCGCATTTCCGTGGAGGCCCCATTGTGTGGTACCCCGACCAGCAGCCCCAATAACTGTGTCCAGTGCTCCATGCAGAGGTGCCTTTCATGGGGAGGGGTCAGTGGCAAGTGCGCGGGACCTTCCAGGCCCAGATTTACATGTGAGAACACACGCGCCACACGCCCCGAGCACCTCCTAAGTACAGCAGGTTCCTGCCTGCCCCAGCGTCACAGGCCCCCCAGGAGTCCCTGGCGCCAGGCCCTACCCCACCGCCTCTGCTCCTTTGGACACCCTGACGCGATCTGTTCCCCTTTTCTCCTGCTCCCGGCACAAGCTTTCATAAGTTTGCCAGCATCCAGTACGTTTCCCAAGTACCTTGCAAGGCTGCATTTCCAAAGAACCCAACCGCTGGCCCCGAGGCTCCAGCAGGCCCCACTGGCCACTTGGCAGGCGGTGGCCAGGAGGTTGGCCAGGACCAGGACCCGGCGCGCCCCCCTGGGATGGCAATCCCTCGGTTGAGCCCCGAACCTAGCTGCCATGAGAACTGTTCTGGGAGCACTTAAGTGAGCGTAGCTACTGTGGGCGCGACACCCTCCGTAAGCTTCGGGTTGGCGGGTCTGAGTGGAGCAGGGAGTCCACACACATCACCGAGGAGACCCGGACGGCAGCCGGCTTGGGAACCGGCGCCGGAGGCCATCTGGCTTCTGCAGCACACTTCAGCGTTGGTGGCCCTCTCAGCTCCCCGTTTCCCGGCAGGCTCCCCGCTGCGCCTGCTCATGAGCCGACTCTGCACACTATGCACGCCGCCCCTGAGCTGTGCGGGGCCTGCCCCACCTGCTGTGGGAAGCAGAGCATCAGCGCCCTTCTCGGTCGTCCGCCGGCTCTGAGCATTCACGCGCACAGAGCACTGTAGCAGCAAAGGCATCCGGGCTCCTGCAGGGACCTGGCTTGTCTCTGCCACCCACGCTGATGGGCACCTGCCTGCCCTGCACCCCCCTGGCCCCCTGCAGAGCCCGGCACAGGGGCCGGCCCCACCGCGGTTCACTGCGTCTGAGAGTCATTCACGGGGCGGCACAGTCCTGGGAGGCCCTGGAGTTAACCCCGCTGAGTGCAGCCACGAGCTGCTGGCACCGCGACGCTAACGCAGATGCCAGGCCACGCCAGGGCTAGAGGACGCCAGGGGGGCGGCCCGGCTGCAGCCTTCAGCAGCTCCCCTGCGCAGGCAGCTCTGGCCGCATGTTATTTGCCGAGGCTGAGACTCGGGCACAGAGGGCTCTGGGCCGTGAGACGCCCCGGAGGCGCTGGAGCGGTCACTATGTCAGCACACACAGCACGAGAGGGAACGAAACGTAAACTATGTGCCCTGGATGACAACGCTGTGCTGACCAGGCTTGTCCACTTTACAAATGTGCGCTGCGGAGGTGCTGATGCTGGAGATGGCGAGGCGGAAGGAGGAGGAGGGCAGAAAGGAAGGGAAATCTCTGTACTTTCTCTGTGAACCTGAAACTGCTCTCCAGAATTAAGTCTTGTGAAAAGAATACAAATAAAACCTCGCGGCCCAGTGGGGAAACCAACACACGCGTGCGACCGTGTTCTGCGGCGTGAGGGGGCGGCGCGGTGCCGGGGGCAGGCCGGGGCGGTACAGCCAGGGCAGCAGGGCAGCAACGGCCCCGGAACCCAGGTTCGTGGGGCGAGACCCTGCAGGCTGGCAGGTCAGGGCCGAGGGAAGCGGCCTGTTCTGGAAGCACAGCGAGGCCCAGCCGGGGAGGTTCCAAGCACGAGCCACGAACAAGGCCTGCACCTCAGCAGGAAGGCAGGGACGCTGGCGTGACAGGGAGGTTCCCCAGAACACCTGATTGCTTCAGCTACTGAGAGGGAATAGGCGACGTTTGTCAACAACTCACCGTGTGACAGACTTCCGCTTTGATCTCTTTCAAGGCTCGTTCAGAAAACACGCAGCCACAGCTCCGCAGGAAGCAAAACCTGGGGAGATGACCCAAACCGGACCCTCATCAGTCACCAGCACCTTACAATCACAGCGCTGCAGCTGACACGAAGGTGAGGAGACACGAAGAGAAATATGGTCGCACTGTTAACGATCCCATGAAGAAAAGGAGTATGTCCACAATAAATAAATAAATATGCACTTAGATGCGTAAACCACAAGCAAAGGCCTTCATCCCTTTCCTTTCAATAATCCTTTGGAATGAAGTCTCATGAAATGAATACACTAGAAAAGAACCGCAAACAGCAAGCTTGCAAGGCGCTGACCCTCCGCTGTCAAAGGCACTTTGGCCTACAGCGTCCTAAGCGTGGGCAGTGCAGGGACCGAGGGCGCCCGCTGGGGAGGCCGGAGGGAGGAGCTCGGGGAGGCGGCGCCTCAGAGTCCTCCCGCAGGCGTGGCAGCGAGGCCTTCGAAATCCTCCTCCAGAGACGCCGAGCGCACAAATGCGCAGCCCGAGTTCATGACGTTCCTCAGCGCAGCCCCGTGGCGGGGAGGAAGGGGGACCTGCCTCCGTGGCCCCTGGCAGAGAAGAGGGTGAGATCGAGAACATCACCCAGCTGCCAAGGAGTGAGGTGACTGGATGAGGTGAGGTGAGAAGTGGGGGAAGGTGACGTAGCACGGGATCCCCGAGTGTGGGAGGAACGCAGGAGTACCCCAATGCCCAGTGGGCAGGGAGGGGTTGGGGGAGCTGGCAGGGGGCTCACCCTGCCACCCAGGGGCTAGGGCGCGGGAAGGGGCAGAGAGCACACGCAGGGGCTTTATAGAGCCACAGGCGCACTCCCATTCCTAGGGATTCCTGCGGTGCAGAGCGCCCGAAAAGCCAACTTACGCTACTGGACCAAATCACTAAGTAAGGCTGGGGTGGCCCCAGCCAATTCCTCCTTTGCGTATGCTGACCAGCTGTTATGGTTTGGGGAACAGTGTTTTCTTTAAACAAAGGCTTAGCGATTTTGGTAGACTGGTAGTTCTTCTGTGTGTGTCAATCTTTACTGTAAAAACTTTTACACATGCCAAATGAATTTCCTCGTGTGGCAGTCCTGCTAATAGCAGGAGCGCTCGGTCAGAGGCCAGGCAAAGCCCGAGCCACTGGGAAGAGAAAAAGGAAAAGAGACTTTAACCAGCCAGTGAACGGGAAAACCAGGAGAAGCCACAGTGGAGCAGCAGACCCCGGCGACCTAATCAAGACCCCGGAGCTCACCAGGTTTCTGCAAAGTTCTGTGGGGTGGGGAGACCAAGGTTTTCTTAAGGAGCGGGAACCCAGAGACAAAGGTTACACACGGTGTGACTCTCTCTATACCAAATACTGGAATAGGGAAGGCAGAGAGAAAAGTGGGCTGGGCAGGGAATGAGGGGTTCCTGCTTAATGGCGGGGCGGGGGGCTCAGTATTGACAAGTCCATGCTGCGGAGAGGACGCCGAACACCAGCGCGGCTGTGAGGACGGTGCCGCGGCGGCACGGCGTGACTGACCTGTGCCGGCCGTTCATCTCCAAGCCCACCACGGGACAGAGGAAGCGGGCCCGCTGCAGGTCGTCATGCTTGTCACCTTTGGTGCTTCCTTTATCCCCCTCCCAGGCGGGGTTGTCCGAGAGCCTCAGTTCTGTCACATTCTGTGGAACGCATCAATATTTTAAGACTGTTATAAATGGATCAGCCTTCCTTTTAATAACCTGAATCCCGTGAGAAATTGATATTCCAGTCCCCTTTTCACCCACCTCTGTTCTCCTACTACCTTCCTCTGGCCATTACTGACATGGATTTATAACATTAGGCCACACATTGGGACAGGAACATGATTAACAAAAATCACTTGATTAGCAAATGAATTAGCTATTTTCCATTTTATAGCATTGTGTGACTTAAGGAAAAGTAGTTTCCAAGATGAAAAATAGCTTCACTGAAAGGAAATTCTGTTGGGCTCACCAGAGAGGAGCACGCCTGCCCCCCCGCTGGGCCTCTTCCCTGAGCCCCTCCACATCCAAGCCAGGCCACGCTGTGGGGTCATGCCCTCAGGAGTCCTTGGCAGAACACTAGCCAGAAAAAAGCGCCTACTCCAAACTTCAGCCACTCAGGTTTTCAAAACTTCAGTGCTGCCAGTTTGGCTCACAGCCTTCCTTTGCAGGCGGAGGCAGCGCCTAGTATTTAACGCCGCTAATCTGATTTCCACAGCAGGGACAGCGGCCCCGCGGCTAGGCGGGACGCCACCCCCCACCCCGTCCCCGCGCGCCATCGCTGCGTGAGGCTCAAGGTCTCAGGGCATTCGTGGATTGTTAATTGCTATTATGATCTTTCTGTTTCTGTACATTGTTCTGTTTGAATCCTTTGATCTTTACCATTCTGATTTCTTAGAAGTTTCGTGGATTTGCTGCCAGTAAAATGAAGTTCTACCACATACATTGTGTTTTAGGTAGAGAACCGCGTGAATTAATTTCCAGGACAATTGCATTTTGGAGGTAAAACAATCCCATCAACATGGGTTCTTGGGAATGACCCCCTCCACCCTCTCCCCACCTCCCACCAGAGGAGAGATGCAAGAAATCAGCCTGGCTGTTTGAACAGCCCGACCAGTAGCTGCATTTCAGACGTACTAACTTGCCTGAAATGAACATATCCTGCACCCTGATACCCCAAAGTTCAAACAAAAAGCTCAAGAATAAAAAAGACAAGAAGAAAGAGAAAAGAAAAAGAAATCCCCCAAGTCGGGATGAGGGGTGCTGGGCCAGGCCCCAGAGACTGGCCATGTGGCCCCCAGCTCATCAGTGCGGTCACCTCCACTGAGGACGAGTGTGACAAGCTGGATGGTTCTCAAATCCCTCACTCCTTTTCTGATTTTTTCCACCGACTAGATTAGAAAGACACTGTCCTCTCAACGAACTTTCTTCACTAAAAAACTTGTTCTTCCACTTTTATGAATGAGCGTGAAGTGCCCATCAGAACTTACCAACGTAGAGATGACCACAATGACTCATAGTGACCTGCCTACAAAACCCTAATTCGATGCACCTGTCTTCCAAATAAAAAATCAGATAAAAAAAGGCCTCCCGACATTTACCCAGCACATTCCCAATCATGCACATGAATTCTATGAACCCCACAGGCCCCTGGAACACTTCAGAATCACCTGTCTTACCTTAATGCTCTTAATGTGGGAGGCAGCCTTCCCAAGAGCCTTTTCAGGAGATTTGTCCAGGAGAAACTCAATCACAGCATCTTTGTTGTAAAGTCTGCAATGATAAGGGTCAGTGGAAACACTCTGGCAACAAGAAAACTTCAAACTGAACAGGAAACTAAACTGCATATGATCCACAGTCCTATACATCCTACAGAACAGTGAACTTAGTCCCATCTTAGCTATTTTCAGAAACTAGTGTCAATCCAGGGTTGCTAACTGGCAGCCTGAGGGCTAAATGTGACCAGGGTGTTTTAAATTGGGACCCTTGATAATATAAAAGTACACACTTTCCACTTGCCTTGTGAAAAAGAAAAAGTAGGTCTGGAATCACCTGGGCTACACCCAAACTTGTGACTTAGTAAGCAGCGAGCTGCCCCTTTAGGTGAGACAGGAGCTGTCCAGTCATCCGGTAACACCCCGCCCCTTCCCTACTCTTTACTGTGCTCCACCTGGCTCCTTTATGCATTTGTTTAGAGCTTGGCTCCTACTGACCCCTGAGTTTTCAAGACAAGGGTTATCCAAACCTAACAGGAAAAGCACAAGCAGTTTGGAGATGAGGCATGATGACCTCAGCCAGAGCAAATTCACAGCTGAGGACTCAAGAACTGCATTTATACATGAAAACTGACTTTTAAAATATCTTTTAAGTCATTTAATAAAAACTCATCTTGAAGAAAGAAAGAGGCCACACCTGCCCAGCTCGCAAGCAACAATAGGCCGCCTTAGTATTTCTTGACTTAGAGTGCAATAGTTCCACTGGGCCACTAATTCAGCATCTTTGTCAACCTATGAAAGAAAAAGTTCGTTCAGTTTTCACCTCTGAAAGACCTATGCCCACAGCTTACTTTACAAAGGCTTCTTCAGTAACACCAAACTGTGAGGACTTCTGTTCCTTGAGGGCAGTGACACGCGAAGCTGGGGTTTACAAAGTCATCAGTGGTCAGCACTAAGCCCCATACAGGCCTCTAACCGTGGCCCGGACAACGTTTACACCAAAGCAGTGACTTGCTTATGCAAGCTCTGTCTGAATACTAACCCCGGGATCCTAACAGGGAGAGGGGAGGCCCAGGAAGACGTGAGCAAGGGAAAAGGCCTCGCGGCAGGCACAAGGCTCTGCCGTGACCAGCTTTCCAGCTTCCTCCCGTCGGGCTTCAACTTCCAAGTCCACCAAGTGGGGGTGAAGACAGTACGCACCGGGGTCGTCGCGGGACGCGCGCGAGGCCCGTCCAGCGTGCTGCCCGGGGATGGCAGGAGCCGGCGCTCAGCCACCGCCGGATTAACGGTAGTTAACGCCCGTTGTTGCTCCCCAAAGGAGAACTGAACGCAGCTGCCCCATGAGCCGGGGGCGCCCCCTCCCTCCCCGACTCTCTCGCAGCCCGGGGGCGTCCGCGCACCCCCGGCCCCCAGCGGGCCCACGTCGCTGACCTTCTCAACCTTCTTCGGCCCCTTCACCAGTTCGTGCCTCTTGGGGATTGTTCCTCCGTCGCAACCCATCGCTAGGCAGGGGTCAGGAGCCCACAACAAACCCCTCCGTGACCACTTCCGGGGTCCCCGGTGGCCGTGTCGTCACTTCCGGTGCGCCGCGGTGACGCGCGCCGTCGCGCCGCGGAAAGACGGGGCCGTCGTCAAGCCGCGGTTGCTAGGGAGAGCAGCGCCGGGCACGGGGCTCTGGGCGTGGGTTGATGCGGCCTCCAGGGTGCCTTGGGCGCTAAGTGGGGTGCGAAGCGCCGTCCCCGCCCTGCCCGCCCTTCCTCTTTGCGGTGGGCGCGGCGTCCTTGCTCGCCCACGGCCCGGGACCCGGCGAGGAGCGCGGGGCTCCTGCTGCGCCCACTGCCCTTTGAGCCGGTCCCCCAGGCCCCCAGCCTGTCTGTGGCTCCGGTACATCCCTGGGGCAAGGGCCGCTGTTTATCACCGCTGTTAATGATGCAGAGGACTAAAATCTACTTTCTAATGCCCTACGTATACTTGCTTAAAATAAGGACATATCTTTACTGAGTGCCGACTAAGCACTTACTTTCTTCCCAAAACTTAGCTATTAACCTATTCACCGCATCTAACCGCTTTCTGTTTTCCAGCCAGGTGGGCCACTTGAGATAACGGTGACGCCTCGCCTTTTGTTATAGGATGGGGATCAAGCACGTGGGTTTTTCCAGGCGATAAAAGCCCTCAAGCTGGGTCCAACCCCCACCCTTGAGGTGGCCGGGGTTCTGGTCATCAGCTCATCTCTCCAGGGGAACTCCCCCACCACTAAACATCTTCAGTTGCCTGCCTTCCTCTGTCTCCCTGTCTTTCCCCCCCAGTGACCTCCTGCCAATCCCACATTCCTTTACAATTACCCACTTCCCCAAATGAGATATGAACCTATTTTCTGACCATTTAGGGAAGCAATTCTGAATCTTGGGGTTCCTGTGTTCCACTGAGTTGGCTCTGTATTGAAAGCCTTTCTTCTCCCAACCCCCAGGGGGCTGGCAAAGATGGGCATGGGTGGAGAAGCCTGTGGTAGCAGAAGCGCTCCCAGTAAGGCCTAAGGCACTGGTGTAGTAAGAGCTTCTACCTCAGGCCCAGAATTTTCTGATGCTGTTGCCCTTGTTGCACAATCTGAAAGTTTGCTCGCACATGTGTGTGTTTTGGTCACACCCTCTGCAAGCCCAAGCTAAAATGTGTCTATTCATTAAAAAGCAGTTATCATTAGCAGGCACATATGTAATTCTAAAAGATTCATTGATATTTCCATCTCCTGCTAAGAAATAGGGTGCATTATGTCTGTAGTGGGAACACAAATCCTTTGCAAAACCTGAGCTGACCTCCAGGTGTGTCTGCCCTGCCCTTGGCCACTCTGTGCCCCTTGAGTTACTATGGATATTGGAGGAAAGCCTGTCCATTTGAGCAAGACGGACCTTGGTGAATGGATTCTACCTTGTTGACCAAAGCAAAACATCAGAAAGTTGAAAATATCTGCTGTTTGGGAACAGAAAAATGCGAATATGAACACTTCAGGGATTATAAGATTTGGTTATCTGTTCCTGCAGCTAGTGGGAATTACAAGAAAAACTGCTTTGTGCTGTATCCGGTAAAATACATGAGATCAGGTCTATAAAAACAATTAGTAAACTATACCGTTGTACATATGTGTATAGAAGAAATCTTTACTCGGCTGGTTTCTCATTGGCTTATGATTTATTTTTATGTCAATTGTCAGCTCTGGAGGGGCAGGACTTATTTTATTCCCCTTGGTAGCCTGGATGCCTGCAAGAGTCTTTGGTACATTTACTATTCATTTCTTCAACAAACCAAAAGAAAATACAGATTAGCTCAGAAGGGCTGACAAACCCGTTTTTGCTTTTACATTTTAAAAGGACAAGGAAAGGAGAGGCCCCTGCAGCATCCAGGGTGGGCAGGGGGCTGCCTGGCAAGTCAGTATGGAGAAAGCCGGCACGGAGGAGTCCTGTTAGCACCCGACACGGGAGGATGCAGCAGCCCGAAGAGTGCAGAGGTCCGGTCACACAGCTGCCATGTGAGAGAGCTGGGCAGGCCCCCAAGTTAGTCTCTTCTCACAAGCAGTGATACATGATCTGACTCAGAAGAGCAAAAACCCCAAGTGTCTGTAGACAGATTCTCAAACGGTGCTGTTTTCTGGCATGAAAATCTGTCTCTTGTGAAGTTCATTGGGACAAAAAACAGAGTGCTCTTTCTGAACCCACGAGTGTGCTGGGAGATTGGGGGCCTCCTTCTGTCCAGGAAATGGGGGGCTAGTGCCCTTCACCTTCCACATGACAAGCCCCAGCTGGCCATGTGTCTTGGGTCGAGGACATCCAGTGGGTGAGCAGAAGGAGCAGAGATGAGGGGCTTCTCCACGAGGCCTGTCTAACGCAACGCTGTGCTCCCTAATGTGGCCCCGCACGCTGCTCTAGACACCCAGGGGTGCTCGTTGTGTGGGTCTTAAATAAAGTGAAGGCAGCTGGATTGGTTTTCTCTTCCTCCTTGATTTCCTCTTTTAGGAGATTAGTCTCTTGCAGATTCTACAGTTGAAACTCGTGTGGTTTATGATGATCATCAGCCGCCAGCAGTCTGTGTCTGGAGGGCTGCGTCTCAGGCTTTGCTCGAGTTGAGACATTTTGTTTTCCCAGTTACCCTGGCAGGCAGCTGGCATTACTGCCAGGCCTTTGCTGAATAAGTAATAAAGAAGACACCCTCGCAAGAACCCTTCCTGACAGCTTTGCCCAGTAAGCTGTCGATGTGAGGGAGTGGGAGGTGACATAATGAAGGAGAAGTGACACTCGCAAAGTCAGTATTTCCTAACCTCTGGGGTCATCTGTGAGGGGATCTGGTGAAGATGTTGAGCTTACTCCTCAGGAAAACATCCCTTAGTCCATCGACACATTGCTCTGGCTCATCCCAGGCTGGGTTCCAGCTCCCTCCTGAGGCCCAGGAGGTGCCTCCCGGGGCTGGAAGATGAAGGATAGCAGCTGTTCTTGTTTCACCCCCGTGGCTGCTCTAGCCGTTGGCAGAGACCTGGGCAAGGAGGGGATGTCCTGTAAATCACTGTTGAATGAATGGAGGAGGGGCTCTCTGCTGCCACAGGGGATAAAGACGGAGCTATCAAGCTATCTCAGCCCCTGCAGCAGGGGTTCCATCCCCGGCCAGGGAGTGGCCCCCAGGGCACCGCAGACCTCTCCTGTCTCCCCGCTGCTTCCCCTCAGCAATGGATTTTAGTGGATCTGCCTGTTCTGCTCCCCGCTCTGTCCCTGGTGAGTTAGTTCTCTTACCCTCTGCATCTCTGGCCGACACTCCAGCTCTTGTGTGCATAAGTAAATAAATCTTAAAAAAAATAATAAATGAGGCCCTCTGTGGTGGTGCAGTGGGTTAAAGCACAGCACTGCAAGCTGGCCGCAGCTGCTTCAGTGTGAATTCGATCTCCGCCCCGGAGGTGACCCACAGGGTGCAGCAGACCTCTCCTGGCCTGCTGTTCCTCTCAGCGTGGTAACTCATCAGTCTGCCTGTTCTGCTCCCCACTGTCTCTGGAGAATCCTCTCACTGCCCCTGCAACTCTGGTCTGTACCCCAGTTCTTGTATGTATAAATAAATAAATAAATCTTAAAACAAATAGATGAAGGAAGGAAAAGAAAAGGTCTTTCACAGAGTACTCGCTTAGGCTAAGTTTTGCAGCTTTAATCCATTGTGCTACCAGGGAGAGCTGAACGTTACAGTTTTTAAAGATGTCTTATTTGTTTGTGTGTTTACATGTTAAAAGGACAGGTTGAAAGATGTTTTATTAAAAAGAAGCTGTTGTAACGGGGGGGTAGTGTTCGGGACTGTGGTGATGGCACACGGTGATTTGGTGACGGGAAGCCCACGGGGATGACAAGTGAGACGAAAAAAGGCACAAAATGATGTAAAAATAAACTATTGCATTATTTTAAGAAAGGATAAAAGACAAGTGACACACACACACAAAGCTGTTGTCGCAGGCGAAACCGGCGCCCGGCTTGCGTGGCCCTGGAAGGCCCCTGCGTGAGGCCCTCGCCACTTGCCGCCTCCTGGTAAAACCACCCCTAGTTGAGGTCAAGCAGCTGCCAGCACCGTCACCGCCACGCCGACCACACTTCCCCTTCCTTCCTCGAGAGGAAACGGCACACACTTCTGGGCATGAAACAAATACTTAGCAAAAATTTGCTAAAAGTTCAAAGCTACGATTTTGTTCCCCTTTAGTCTTTTCCGAAATAATTATCTTATTAATGGTGGTAGTTCACCCACAACTGCCCTCAACGTTTTTGTACTTTGGCCACAGAGATTCACGGTTTGAACTTACCTCGAAAAGAAATACGTGTGGCCTTGGGCAGGCAGATCTCTCTCCCCTGCCCGCCTGCATGTGCACGCGGATAGGCGTTCTCAGCCAACAAGCGTCTGTTCGTGGCCTGTGAAGGGACGATGTAGTCAAGGGGCTAACGAGTAATCCCTCGGTAAGAGGGAGCTGCTCTTATTATTGTGCAAGCAATCATGTCGCCCACCGGGGGAAGCGTTTTGGGGCCGCTTCCTGTACCCCTCCTTTCCGCTGCCCTCCTGACTTTGAGGGGGCGCCAGTGGGGGCCCAGTTCTCAGGGCTTTCTGAGCAGACGCTTTGTTCTGGAATGTCCTCTCTGGGTAGCAAACACCCTCCGAGGCAGATTAACGTGTCTTCTGGAGTGGAAGGGCCGTTTGCTTGCCGTTGAGTCTGAGACGCTCATGTGTCCTCTGTGGAGCTCGGTCATGCTGGTGCCGAGCCGGGGAGAGCGCCAGGGGACACGAAGTGAGGGAGCGGACCGCAGACCTGAGGCGGTCAGCAGGGCAGGGTAGGGAGAGGGAACAACACAGGCGAGGCAGAGCAGAGGGCCCGTGGGTGGGTCTCGGGCTCCGGGGGCGGGAGGACGACGGGACCCACCCGCGGGGAGAGGCCGAGCACTGGGCTCCCTGGGGCAGCGGGTGCTGCAAGCAGCCGCAGCTGCTCAGTGCGGGTCGATCCGGCCAGGGAGGGACCCCCAGGGCGCGGCAGACCTCTCCTGTCACCCCGCTGCTCCCCTCAGCAGTGGACTTCGTCAGTCTGCCTGCCTGCTCCCCACTCTGTTCCTGGTGAATCCTCTCACTTGCACACCTCTGGCCTGTGCCCCGGTTGATGTATGCATACAGAAATAAGTCTTTAAAAAAAATCAAGCACTGCCAAAAATGAACAACGATGTAAGAAAATAAATACATTTAATAAAAAATAAATAAAAGCTGAGGGTTCGCTTTGCTCGGGACTCCTGGGCTTCAGCAGCCCACTGCGCGGGTGGCACCATCGTGGGTGGGAGGGGCGTGGGCATGATGGCACGGTGACGCTTAGGCTGCTTAGATCAGTAGAAAAAGGTCTGTGTGTGCAAGAGTGGACGGTGCAACTGGACTAATAGTCTCAAGACCTGCTTGCGAGCAGGTCGAGAAACGGGGGCCAGAGGGGGAGCCCTGTCCACAGAGTCATGGTTCGCGCCATGTTGTGCCAGCGGGATGCGGGCTGAGCCCCGCCTTTTCCTCTGACCCCCTGGGCTTTGGGTGCAGTCCAAGGCGCCGCCCGCCTGATCTGCGCAAGAGAACTCTGGGCGGGAGCTCCCACCAGCTCCCTGGCCGGCTGCACTTCACACGCGTTGTCACAGGTGGTTGCTGGGGAGTTGGGGGTGGCCGGGTAACCCCGCGGGGGGCTTGTGCCTGGCTCCCTCTGCGCTTCCCCCACGTGCCTTTCCCCTCAGGGGCCTCTCACTGTAACCCATCACTGCCGTGAACTCAACCGTATGCTGAGTCCTATGGCTCTTCCCAGAGAATCCTGAGACCTGGGGATGGTGTCAGGGACCCCCGATGTAGCCTCTGAGCCCAGAATCTCGTGTTTCCTGTCAGTATTCGCGAAACCAGCAGACATTTGATTAACTAGAAATGGGGGAAACCCCGTGCATTTCAATTCTCAATGAGACAGTCTCTTTACCCTTCGAGGACACGTGGAGCGTCTGTGTGGCTGCGCGTGTGTGCCCGGGTGGAATCCAGTGCGAGGGTTTCTCCGCTCACCCTGGGCTTCTGAGGGGCAGACCCCTTGTCTGCGCGAGTCCGAGCAGAATCAATCACAACTCCTTCTCCTCCGGCCGCAAATAAAGATGACATAGGCTGAGCAGCGACCTAGCGAGTGAGCTTTGACCCGGAGGCAGGAGAACCGAGAAGCTCAGTGGTGTTAGTGGAACACCTAAAACCATGAGCCCTGAGGCCAGGCTGCCTCTGGATTATCCTAAGATACTTGAGACGGCAGCGTGCTGCCTTTACTGCTTACTAGGGGCCGGACTGCAGTTGTGGCGGCCTGTGACGGGAGTCCTGCCCCGAGACCGCGGCTCCTGCTGCTTGGAGCAGAGCTCCAACCGCACAAAGACGGGGTCTCGGGCCTTCAGTCCTGCCTGAGACCAGCTCCCAGCCGACAGCGCCTTGCCCACAGCCACCAGTGGCACACCTACTAAGTGACGAGTGGCGGAGAGGTTATGGGCCAGAAACTTCCAGTCTGAGCTAGAGTTTCCAGGCTGCAAAGGTGTTTATTCCTGAGACGCAAGGAGGAGACACGGGCCTATACACACATCTGAAGTCGAGGTCCTATGGCCATAGCGGCAACGTGAGCGAAGGGCCCCGTTGCTAGGAGAGGCTGAAGGGTGGCTGACTCAGGGGCACTCTGCTTTACTTTCAGGGCCGTGCCCTGTGGGCATCCCGTCCACACGGACCACCGAGCTCCTGGCCGGGCACACGTGATGGCTCAGCTTTGCTTAGGTACTGGACCTCACAGACCAAGCTTGCTGGGAAAGATGGTTCAGTGATGATGGTATTTATGGAATGTTTTCAATGGTAACGGAGTTGAGACTGTTAAAGATCAGTCTTCACCGATGGAGCAGACTGCACTGATCAACACAGAATCTACGACACACAAAATAAATTAATAGGGAGCCCCGCGGGGTATGCTATGTTGTAAATATGACATGTATCATTTAAGATAAAATAGCAAGAATGTGTACATTTTTGGCTCCAAGACACAGAGACATACATAGCGAGTTCAATCCCAAATGGAAACGCGCGTTCCAAACAGCAACAGGAAGGGCGCCCCTGAAAGTCTCTCCTCCTATTTTCTCCCTCCCACCCAGTAGCCCCTCTTCTCTCTGAGCTGTCTGTCTGCGTAGCACATTAAAAGCTCCAGGAGGTCAAAGCCTCTCTGGATTACAGCTGTGCACCCAGCACCTAGAACCTGACGTATAGTAGGTCCTCAACGAATAAATAGATCATGAGTGAATTTAAAACAGGCACAAGTTTACCCAAGATGTGGTGAAAGTTGTTTCCACAGCAAACTCCCCACACGGCCCTAAGCGGCAGTCCAAGAGCCAGCAAGGTCCTCGGTTGAGCCCTGACTCCGCGGCTTGTGGCAATGTCCTGGGGTCACGCAGTCAGCTGGCCAGACCAGCACTGGGCCCCGTGGCGGCTTCTCCCCACGGGGACATCGCCAGACCGTCTTGTCCATAGGAGGGGGAGCCTGGGGTGTGTGTGTGCCGCTGAGTCTAAGAGGTCCGTGGGGTGGGGGCAGAGCAGGCCAGGGGGGCTCACCCCAGCATCCCCCGGAATTGCCGCGCATGCTGCTCCAGCTTCTGGATCTCCGCCTGCAAGTGCCGGAGGGCCGCGGGGCTGGGGTGCTCGATCACTGCCTGCTTGGTGGCCAGCGCCAGGCCCTTGAGCAGGCTGCACAGGTGGTTGCTGCCACAGAGGACCTCGTTTCGCGCGTCCCTGTCCTGCGTCTCCTTACACAGCGTGTCCACCAGCTTCTGCCCCACCACGATGATCGCCTTGCTCCGCGTGATGAAGACCGTGGGGGGCTGGCTGTGGTGGAGGCTGCCAGAAAAGGTGTTGATGGCTTTGAAGAGCGCCCCGAAGTAGAGGCGGCTGTGCTCAGAGAGGTGGATCCTCTTCTCGGGCTTCTGGAGGCTGGAAGGTCGGGGGGTGAGACAGCCAGGACTCTAGAGAAAGAAGGAAACGATAGCTCCAACAGAGATGCCTTCGGCAGGTGGTGTGGCCTCTCTTCCCCTGCTCTTGCTCACCTTGCTAGACTCTTCCGTGGAAGGGGGCGGCTTTGGGAAGTCCCATCCGTAACATTTGCCCGACAAATTACAGTTGCTTATGAGTTAGAGTTTGTGTGTGCGTTGTGTGTATGGTTTGTGTGTATAAAGCATAAACGTCTTATAAATTGCTTTGTGCATATACGAAATCTCTTACAGAGATTCTTACTCAATCCTCTCCACAAGCCACCAGAAACCTAAAGAACACCTGGCAAGACTCAATCTATAAACTTTAAAAATGCCAGCAAACTTGATAATAAGGTTTTAAAAACTTATTCAACAGATTAAAGATTTTTAAATCCTTTCTATCTCAGTCTCTGAGACAAACCTCAACTCCCCAGATTCCTAGAAGAAAGCCAGATCCGCAGGACTATTAGAATATGTGTCTTGCTTGCTAGTATGACTTCACCTAGAACTTCAGGAATCCTTTTTGCTGGAATGGGGAGCAGGTCTCTGCCCCAGCCTACACACCCTGAGAGTCTCAGCCTCTCCCTCAGCAGGAGTCCAGGAAGCGCTGGAAGGGCCTTTGGTAGGTCAGAGGTGAGGACAGCAAGGCCCACTGGGGACACCCCACTAGCAGGAGAGATGTGGAGCGGTAGCCGCAGCAACCAAGTCTGAAAGTCTCCTTCTTTTTTAATTTTTAAAGATTTATTTATGCATATACAAGTGGGGTGCAGGCCAGAGGGCAGGGGGTGAGAGGACTCACCAGAGACAGAGAGGGGAGCAGGACAGGTGGACAGATGAAGTCCACTGCTGAGGGGAACAGCGGGGAGACAGGAGCGGTCTGCCGCGCCCAGGGGTCCCGCCCTGGATGGGGTAGAACTCTGTGGGGGCTGCGGCCAGCTCCGTGGTGTTACACTTCAATCTGTTGCGCCACCAGAGAGGCGGGAAAATCACATTCTTTCCACTAATCCACACACCGTCTCATCCACCTAGGACCTCAAAATCTACAACTCAGCAGCCCTGGGGGTCAGGGCGTGTGTCCCCCCAGAATTCCTAGGTTGAAACTGGACCCCTCCCTCCACGGAAGGGTATTAGCGACGGAGGCCATCAGGAGGCCGCAGAACAGGGGAAGCCTTGAGGGTAGGGTGGGGAGGGGCCGAGTGTCTTGTCAGACGCAGGCCAGAACAGCCTCCCCGTCTGCGCTTGGGAGGGCACAACCAGTGACTGTGTCGTTTGTGACAATGAAGATGATGACCTCGAAGTGGTGATGGTACATGAAATAAGTCAGAAGGGGAGAGACAGAGACCCAAAGATGTGCAAGACGGACAAAGCAAACGGACAAACGAAACACCGCAGCACCTACTCTTAGTACGGACAGCAGATGGGAGGTTTCCAGGGGAGGGGACAGCCTGGTGACCGGCAGGGGAGAGCGGGACTTTGGTCAGTGACCCTGATGCAGAATCTGTAGGTGTTGAACTCTCTACTTGACCCCTGACCCTTACACCTGTTGTGCACCAAAGCTATCGCGGTGAAATATCATCCATAAAGCGGCAATAAATGAGAAGCTGTCTGGTTGAGACAGGTCCGCCAGCACCCACCATGCTGGCTCTGTACGCGACGTCCAGGCTCCAGGTCAGCAAGAAATGCGCGCCTGGGGGTGGAGTGGGGGGTGGCCAGCCTGTGGGGGTGCTCTGTTCCCAAAACCCAGATCAATGTGTCATAAAGATGGATGCTTCAGGGGTGCTATCCCCAGCAGGTGTGGGCTGAAGGGGGTGTCAGAGGAGGAGGGTAGGGGAGCACTTTGGAGAAGAACATTCATGTTCGCTGTTAGAATTTCATGGGCAAAAAATGGAAACGATTCTTTCTGAGTCATAGTGAAGAAGAGCACTGGGTGTGGCTGACAGGGACTCTGGGGTCAGGTAGCAGGAGCAGGAGCCCATGACGTTAGAATCTCAGCGTCTTAGTGCCCAAGTGCTAACTGTGGGGAACAAAAAATGTACCCGATTCCTGGGGTGCCGGAGACTCAGGAACAGAGCTGGTGAGCGCATGGATTCGGAAGCTCAGGCAGCTGCGAGCAGGCCGGCCCAGGGAGAACCCCCACACCAAGGGCCAGCGTCCAGCCAGTGACCACTGGGGCCCTAGTGTCCCCAGCACGCTCCTTGGAACGGCATCAGCATTGCTGGGAAATCTCAGAGCCCCTCCCAGGCCTCGGGAGTCAGAAGCTCTGCCGAGATGGCCCAGACATGCTGTTTCAACAAGGGCTCCAGGAGCCTGCCGTGTTCTCACGGATGAGACCCGCCGGATTAGCCAGGCCGTAAGGCGCACAGAGCAGCATGACTTTTCCAGCAATCTGGCAGGCCCACGGTTTTGTGTTTGGGGCCTGGGCACCCCACCAGCAAGAGCCCTGAGGTCCCATCCTGGTTTGCCTCTGAGAATGCAGGCGCTGGTGGCCAGTGGGTGGCTGGTGGTCACCTTCCCATCCCTCCCCCAGCCAGCGGAGCTGGGTCACTCCCAGTCTTCAGCCTTTCAAAGACCACCTCTGGGGCCACTCCCTGTCACCCTCCTCTTTACCCCAGAGGATTGACCTTTGTCTTTAAACAGAGCCCCTGTGTTTACTTAAGTTCACTTAAAGGAAAATTTGAAAACCAGTAGATGAATGACAAGTGTCTTTTGCCACCAATAGAAAGCAACTAAGAAGCACAATAACCTCTTGACTTAAAACAGAAGAGGAAGAAAGTAAGTCTCAATAAGGTGTTAAAATACGGCCCCTAAAATGTGGGGGGTTTTGTTTGTAATCAGAAGCACTAAGGAGACAGTCAAAGGAAATGTTCAGTCTGTGCATGTCAGTTTCACCCACGATAAAAATACAGAATGTGAGTTATTTCACTAAAGGTTAATCGATTGTGTTCTCCACCCCGGGACTCTCTGGACCTGGCTTGTTCCTTCTACTGTAAAAATGGGGAAACCATTCCCCACTCCAAACCCCTCCTGCCCACGCGTGATGACCGGTGGTGAAATAGCCATAGCAAAGAACAGCCGTGGGCTAAAGCACACCCCTCAAGGGTAGTGACACCTACTTGTATTTCTGAGTCTTTGTTTACATCCAGTCTTTGTTCCAAGGTGGGTTTTTCTCTCTTTTGTAGGTTAAGCTGCTTCTGGTAAAATAAAATACCTTGGAATGACTAACTTGAATAGCTTGTTTTTTAAAGATTTACTTATTTATACACACAAGAAACTGGGGTACAGGCCAGGGGTAGAGGCCAGAGGTACAGGGGTGAGAGGACTCCCAGAGACAGAGTGGGGAGCAGAACAGGCATCGACTGAAACCCACTGCTGAGGGAGCAGCGCGGAGACAGGAGAGGTCTGCTGCGCCCTGTGGGTGAGCTCCCCGGCCGGGGCTCGAACTCGTGCTGCAGCGGCTGCAGACAGCCTCACAGTGCTGCGCTTCAACCCACTGCGCCACCCCGGAGGCCCTGGGTGGTACCAACCACCACGTTTCATGCTGTGCACAGACATGGGGGCTTTCCACTGGCGGTGCTAGCAGCTGCTGAGTCCAGTTTTGGCAGCTGGCCCTGCCTATGGCCCTTTGTTGGTGGGCATCACGCGTCCCGGGTGAGCACTGCCCTCCAGCGTGGCCACCAGGACATCGGCGTGGCAAAGTCACCTAACTCCTTACGGGAGCTACACACATGGCTAAGATGGGGAAAAGAAGCGCGCCCACATTCCCGGCTTCACCGCAGGGGCCGGAACTGTCGCCCCACCGGGCGTGGTAGCAGACCCAAGAGTGGGGCGGAACACGCGGAATGTGACGGCCGAGCCCGGCCGTGCCCCCGGCGGTGACCCTGCGCCCCGGTCTCTGCAGCCTGGCGCTCAGGCAGCGTGGAGGCGGCGAAACCCGCACAATTCGGTGTTTACACTTCCTCTTCCGTTTCTAAGAAGCAACAGGGACTACATGAACAGCTTTTAAAGGTGCAAGGAAGCTTGGGGCGATAAAAGATTTTGCTCAAAGGGCACATTTCAGAAGGTTTGCAGAATCCTGCCCCCGCTAGTAGCAGAGAGAAACCTACCTGCCTTGCCGTCAAAATATTTACCTGACTTCTCAAAACAACTTCATCTAGAATTTTCCTTTCAAGAATCTCTTTTCCAGAATGTGGGGCCCGTGTATCCCCAAAGCCTACCGGCTCTAGAAAGCACTCAGCCTTGGGCTCTGGGCTCCTCTCAGGAAACACTGAGCCCTGGGCCACCACCGGGGACTCGGGGCTCACCTGGTCACAGGCCTTGGTCCTGTTTTGCGTGAAGAGCTCAGGGGACGGTCCACTTTCCCTTTGCTGATGGAGAGGGGGGCTGCTTTGGTGCAAGGCGTGTTCCCTTTGGGCAAGCTGAGGGCTTCTTGCAAGGTTCAATTCTGCACTGGGGGTCAACAGTTCGGTCTCTTCCCTTTCACAATTCTGCTTGAAAAGGAGCCTCCCGTTGGCAATGACGATGGAGGCGAATCTCTTGACGTCTTCTGGAACCATCCGCGCCGCCATGACAAATCTCTCCAGGTCATCGGGGCTGGTTTGGACTTTGTCAGCCACCAGGACTTCCAGGGACCAGTCCAAGCTCTCCAGGCTGTCCTTGGTTTCAAGCAGGATCTGGTGCGAGTGGGCGATCAGCTGGACCTGCTCCCGAACCCTGGCCTGGAGGTGACCGTCAGGGAGCTGGGAGGCCGTCCTCGCCACCGCCCGCGCGAAGTCCAGGAACTCTCTCAGAGAACCTTCTGTGCACTTCACCGCCCTGCGGATGGCGTCCACGTTGGCCTCCAGGTACTCCCGGGACCGCCACCGCCTGTTCACAAAGAGCATCAGGCCCGCGATGCAGCTGGCCACCCTGTGCTCCAGGGCCGCCGCCGTCTCTTTGGCCGCGTCCTGGTCCATGGGCAGCGCCATGGCCGGTTCCTCCGAGGAGCTGGACAAAGAGTCGGTGGACACAGAGGAGCCGGAGGACACGACACTGGCTCTGCTGTCAGAGCTGGAAGCGGAGAGTCTGTCCAGCTCGGGAGACAGCGACGCCGCCCGCCTGGAGAGGCACAAGGAAGTGGGGTCCCGGGGCGCCTCCGAAGCTCCGCCATGCTCTTTCGCGGGCTGCGGGCCACTCACCATTCCTGTGGGCAAGTCGTAGATGTTGGGTCTGGTGTTCTGCTGCTCCACCCGGGGAGCCAGGAAGCTGGCAGGAACCCTGTAGGAGGTCCCCTCCCCCGAGGGTAGAGCGTCCCGGGGCGCCGGGCGGCCGTAGCAAGAGCTTTCTGGAAGGCTGAGTTTCTTCTGCGTGGCTGCATCTTTAGGCAGGTGTGGCGCGGGGGGCAGGGCTCTGCTGTTCGGGGCACCAGGGAAGCTGGACACATGCCAGGGCTGGGCATGGGGCCCCGGCCCTTCCAGGAAGCCGGGCAGAGGCGCGTTTCTGGCACTGGCTTTTTCTGAAGGCGTCGGCGTGTCGTAAGTCCACTCTGATTTCTGAGGGTTTGGCAGAGAGCTGTAGCTGCTCCTTGTCAGGGCCGTCGCTGATGTCAGCGGTACACTCTGGCCCTGTGAAGAACCACACAGAGCCGCCCAGCTCAGAAGCTGTACAAGGAGGGTGAGAGTGACTTTTCTGACCAAGGGGGTGGTGCGAGGCCCTGCCGCGTGTCTGACACGTGCCTCTGTAAGACCTCACGACCGCTTCGCTTCCCTCCCGGGGCCCGCAGGGGCGACTCCCTGCTGTCACGGCTCACGGCTCTCCGCTGTCTAGCTCTGTCCTCCTTTGAGCCGCCTTCCTCTCCACTGCCCCTGCGCCCACCCGCCTCCCAGAGCCCAGCCCCCTCCCTCTGAGCTCACAGTGCCTCCTGGCGCTGCCATATTGTCCCCTGGCCGGGCCCACCACCTCAATGCTCCTTCCTCGGCACCAGCAAACCCCCACACAGCCCTTGTGGCCTCCTGACGTGTTGCTGTCTTGTTGGGGTGACCTTCCCTAGCAACCTCAGCACAGGTGTTTGATCATAGGCACGTGCCAGACTCCGGCGGCGGGCACGGAGGACGGGCCCCAGGAAGGCATCTCTGTCTGTGCACAAGCCAACGCCCGCTGAGCACCGCACGCCTCTGAGGCAGGCCATCGCTCCAAGCATAGATTCCAGCGCTAGGGGCCTCACGCCTGGGCCGAGCACCAGGTCAGGTGTCCTGCCGGGGTCCCCTCCCTTCATTCTCGCCGTCGGCTGTGACCTGAGCGACATTAGCAGCCGTGTCCAGCCCGTGGAGACGGCCCTGTCCCCAGCGCCTGTCTGCGTGAGGACTTACGTTCCTCGTCGGGGCCACGCTCGTGGGAGTTCCCAGAGGATGGCCACCTGGACGCTCAGCACTGGTCATGCTCACACTCGCGGGGCCGGCGGGGGCACCCCATCTTGCCTTCTGGGCGCTGGCGGGTATGTCATAGAGTATCTGCTCCTCTCTCTTCTGCGGAAAGACCACAAGGGACAGTTGGGATTTTCCATGCCGATGAGAGCGCCCTACACACTCCCTACGCCGGTCTGTTTCCAATGAAAACACAGATCGGCCTCCGTTCCCCACGAGCCCTGGGGAAGCCAGAGAGACCCCTTGTCGCCAGGAGCGACTGACGACTTCCACCTGGGTCAGAACCTGACTGTTTCCACCTGGGTCAGAACCTGGCTGTCCGCCTGCTACTCTTGAGCACCTGGGAGCTTGACAGTTCTTTGGCCTGGAGCCCCGACCTCTAACAATGGGGTTGGGGGGAACATGCCGCGCTAGGCTGGTTGTGGCCCCCAGCTTTTCGTCTCCATGGATGGGGCAAGGAGAACTCAGCCTCGCACAGTTTTGATGGGCTAAGCAAGGAGCGAAGCCGTTTCCTGACTGCACCAAGCCCAGCCCCGGGGGTGGGGGCGTCTGAGGGTCCAGTGCGTCTCCTCTGCCAGGACTTCAGAGAAGGGGCTCCAGGGGCCACGTTCCATATCTGCCCCAAAGTTGGGGTCCCCCGGAGAGAGTGGCCGGGGTCCACTTAGCAGCCTGGGCTGATAGCCACCCCACAGTGCCCGCTTTGCAGAGTCCAGCCTCTCCTTCGTCTCCGTCTCCTCCCAACCCCGGCGCCCCACCCGGGGTGACTCGTCTCACCCTCTGCTGGGACGAGACTGTGGCCCTGGCCCTGGCTGAGTGCACCTGTAAGCCCGGCGTGGTCCCTGCGGCCTTTGCTGATGGCAAACTTGGCACAAACAGGCCAAGGTTCCCCACGACACGTGGGAATGAACCTGTGCTCCCGAGAGCCGTGCCCCCTCCAGGCCCAGGCACCAGGCCGGACGCAGGCGTCCCCTGGCCTCACAGCGCTGGGCCTTCTTCCCAGCCCCCGCTTGCCCTGATGCACCAAGCACCCCCACAAAGCCTCCCGAGCTGCTCCCTCCTCTGCGGCTCCCCTGGGGCCCGGGCCCACTTACCCAAGATGGAGCTACTTTGTGGGTGATGTGCTTACCAAGCCCCCGCAGAGAAATCCCAGGGACTTCCCTGGTGGTGGGACTGTGTGTGGAAGGAAGCTGGTGCCACTTCCTAAAAGTGTAGGTTCAGGCCCTTCCTGGAGGGGGAACGGCACAGCACGGGGGGCTGGCTGCGGCCCCGCTGGCTGCTCGGGGGCGAGTTCGAGCCCCGCCCTGGAGGTGACCGAAGGGCACGGCAGACCTCTCCTGTCTCCCCGCTGCTCCCCTCAGCGGTGTGCTTTGTCGATCTGCCTGTTCTGCTTCCCACTCTGTCTCTGGTGAATCCTCTCACTACCCCCGCACCTCTGGCCTGTACCTCAGGTCTGTATGCACAACTAAATAAATCTCTTAAAAAATATATTCACTGGCCCTCCCTGGTGGCGCAGCGGGTTACAGCACAGCACTGAGAAGCTTAAGCTGCTTCTGCATGAGTTCGATCCCCGCCTGCCCTGGAGGTGACCCCATGGCGCGGCAGACCTCTCCTGACCCGCCCGCTGCTCCCCTCAGCAGTGTACTTCGTCGATCTGCCTGTTCTGTTCCCCACTCTGTCTCTGGTGAAGCCTCTCACCGCCCCTGAGCCTCTAGCCTGTATCCCAGTTCTATATGCACAAATAAATAAATCTTTAAAAAAAAAAATGTATTCACTTTGGCCATTTTGGTTTTGAGAAATTTGGGTGTAAAAGATTTGGGGATCCCCCAAAGGAAGCTCCAGTTCAGGAACTAGTGGGTACGACAGCCATTTCATGGGGAAATATGACCCTTTTCTTCTGAAATACGAGATTCTTCTCTCTGATTTAAACTGAAACCAAATATGTCCTAGGCGGGGAGATTTTTTAAAAGCCGGGCCAGTGCATTATGCTAAGGAAGTCGGAATGAAAAGTGAAACGGGGGGCTGCCGGGGGAAGTGGCTGCAGCGCAGAGGCCCTGGCTGCTGGTTTTGTTATGCTGCTTGATCCGGGTGCACAGGACCAGCCGAACCCCTCGGGTGTGCAGAGAGGGGTGGTGTCCGCAGAAGGCCCGACAGGCTCAAGGCCGGCCTGCGTGTCTGGGCCAGCACTGCTGTGATGTCGGGAGGTCGCACCAGGAAGCTCCCCTCGCTGGTCCTGCCGGCTGCACGGCCCTGGAGGGGTTTTTCACCCGGGAGCCCATTTCCTCATTTGTGAAGTGGGAAGGTGTCCTACTCCAGGTCCCCTCCAGCGGGAGGATGCCGAGTCCAGGCGCCAAGCCCACACAGGCTCCTGTCAGGACAGCCCGAGCCATGTGGATGCTCCCCATGTCAGCTTCCAGTTTAGGCCAAGCTCGATCTACAGGCCGGCCAGCAGTGTGGAAGTGCTTGTCTGGGCTGGGCGGGCCGGCAGGGAGACGGCTTGAGGGGCAGCTGGATACCCCTGGTCACACCTGGACACACCTGGACACACCTGGTCACACCTGGCCACCCTGGCCCTGGGAATGATCTGCCCCTCAGGACTCTGAGTGCACTTCCGCAGTGGCCTCAGACCTTGGCCAGTGGCCTGCTCGCATGCGGGGGGAGATGTCTGCCTCCCGGAGGGTCGGAGGAGCCGTGACTGAAAATCAGCTCCTGTCTCTCCCAGCCCCTTGCAGTAGGGGAAGAGGCGAAGCTTTCCAGACTCACCAAGGGGGGCAAGTAGAGGTCACCTTAGAAATGGTGGGGCGCAGTGCTCTCAAGATACAGAGCGAGAAGAGGCGCTCAGGGGCGTTCCGAAGCGTCCAGCTGTCCGCAGGGCCGGGCTGCCCACAGCCACCCGGGCCCAGGACTCCCGATTCCTGCCCCAGAGGCAGCGCGTGCTCAGCGAGGCTGCTCGGCACAGAGAAGGGAGGGAAAGGCCGCGGGGAACGAGGGTGAGAGGTAGCCGGGCAGTCGGGGTGGGGGGGGGACTTGAGCCAGGACACGGGGGCAGGAAAGTTCTGGGGTGTTTCACAGGGCCACCGCAGGAGCCCGCTCGAGCCGTGAGGCGCCTCTTCTGAATTCCCCTCCTGCGGGTGTGGTTTCTGGGTACTGCGGCAGCCGCGCCAGAGTGGGTGCCAGCCGCCCCCACACTTGGTGTCCAGGACTGATGGCGGGTCTAGACGTCGAGAGCGAGGTCGACGGTCAAGAAGCCTTTCCCACTCCTGAGCCCCGGGACGCCGGCGCTGGGCGCGGCGGGCACGGCCTCTCCCCTTTCCGGGACAGGAAAGTGGCTTCTTGGGCTTTGTTTTCTTTAGTGACGTTGAAAACACCTCGGAAGAGCTGCCCGAGGCCACGTGTGCTGTGGGGCCGCTCCAGGGCCTGCTCGGACCAGCCGTTCCAGAAGGGCCCAGTGCCGGCCGCCTGGAGCTGACTGCAGCGGCACCCCTGGGGTGTGCGGAATCTTTTAAGAAGGCCTCGCTGCCACTGTCCTGAAGGAGGAGGGTGCGGGCGGGGCGCGGGCGTGTTCCTGGGGCTCCAGCAGCGCCAGCTGTACCCTGTCCCCGGAGCCGGGGTCTCGTGCGTGCTGCAGGACACGCAAAGCTGCTCTGTGTCCTGAACACCCCGGGCAGACCAAGGTGGGGGTGCAGGGAGCCGTCCGTGAAGGGGAAGACGACACATGATTTTGCTCTTAGTAATTCCCTTAAAAAGTTCTGTCTTGACGGAGTGCTTCTTTTCCTGTTTTTTAAAAATTGCTATTTTTGAAATTACAGCTGTAACAGTGCTTTCTAGAACACACAGCCCAACTTCCCAATCCTTTGGTTCATCCAATTTCTTGAGACCCCCTTCCACTTCCCTGGCTGGGTCTTGAGGGCCGGGGGGAGAGCAGAGAGTCAGAGGCAGGTCCCAGCCCACTGCCCCTCTTTTTCTTTCCCCTTCTCCAAGCCCACTGAGAGGAGCCAGGGGGTGTGGGCGTGAGACCGGACTGCGCCTGGGAACAGGTGGATTTTTCCTTAGATAGTTTTTGTTTTCATTTGTTTGGCTTTTCTTTCTCCTTCTTTTTTGAAGATTTACTTATTTGTGCACACAGAACTGGGGTACAGGCCAGAGGTGCAGGCGGTGAGAGGGTGAGAGACAGAGCGGGGAGCAGAACAGGCAGATGGACGAAGCACACTGCTGAGGGGGCCGCCGGGAGACAGGAGAGGTCTGCCGCGCCCTGTGGGTCCCTCCCTGGCCGGGAATTGAACTGGTGCTGAAGCGGCTTTGGCTTCATAGTGCTGCACTTTAAACGGCTGCGCCACCAGGCAGGGCCCTTCTTTCTTTTTCTCGTCAGTGCTTACTGATTTACCATGCGCCTCCCAACTGTAATTCGGGGAGGACGGTTTTATGCCTGGACACCTGCCGTGCCTCCCCGCCAACCCCCCAGGACGATCACCTTGGCGCCTCTGACTCCCCTTAACTAGCCGTGTGTCAACAGTGTGGCCTCTGCCGGCAACCTGCCCCCCTCTTGTGTGTTTCTGTCGCAATTCTAAAGCGGCGTTCCTGGCTTGAGAGTTATAATAATACACCTCTTTAGTCTGATGAGAATTTCTTGCCTTTGAACCCACAGAAACTCACCCCTGACGTTTGCCATCACCACTAGTTTAAACAAGCCCCCCCAGCACCCCCAGCCCCGAGGCTTCTACAAATGGTCCAGTTAAGCATTCAGTTTCTCGCAAAGTGTGGGTGTCTTGGGGAGCTGGGGGACCACTGGGGTGCAGCATGTTAACGACAGCTGACGTGAGGGCAAGCACGAGACCGCAGCCTGGGTGCCCATTTCGCACATCTGGGCCCCCAGGCGTGTGGGGGCGTGAGGCCCCGCGGGTCTGTCATCGGGAACAAGCTCACCTGAGTCGGACCCCTGAGCGCCTTTTCGCAGACGACGCTGGCGCTGGCCAGCGGGTTGGGAAACTCGTAGTCCTGGGCGGGGGCTGGCGGGGGTCCCTTGACCCAGCTCCTCATTGGCTCGTACACGGGCCCAGGCGGCGCGGGGCTGAGCTGGGTGGGCGCCTGGCCGGTCTTCCCGGGGCTGGCAAGAGCATTTTCTAGGCCCCTCGTGAATGGGGGGCAGGGCCTGTCCTCGGGGGTCTCCATGAGGACCTGGAGGCGGTTGGCAGGGGCCAGGCCCAGTTTCCCATGGAGCAGACATTTCCACCAGCCCTCGCTTTCCGGCACATTTTGCTCCAGAATGGTCAGGATGTCGCCCCTGCTGAAGGCCAGCTCGTCGGCGCAGTCAGCGCAGTTGTCGTAGAGGGCCCTGGCCAGGAGTACCTGCGGACGGAGGACAGCGTGGTTATATCCTTGCGCGGTTGCCACGGACGCTGCGGACGGTGGGTCCTCGGCCCGCCGGGGCCGGGAGCCCCCAGCTGCTCCCAGGGGCTCTGCCCAGGGGGGCTGGTCCCCACTCCTTGTCGATCTACTCCAGGCCATCCTTGGGGTGCCAGGTGAACTGTCACATCGTCAGGGAAATGGTACCTGCACCCTAAGACCAGCCTGGGCTCCCTAAAGTGCTCACAGGGTGCTGTTTTAACGAGGTGCAGGGGCAGCTCCGGTTTGCGACTTCCCGGCTGTGCCTGGAGCAAAGTAGACCCCCGGGCCTGGGGGCCTGTCTGTGGGGGACCTCGGGGGGGTGGGGCCCCACGGCCATGCATGCACGGGGCTTGCTGACAGCACGCGGCGTTTGGGTGGCGCGTGGTGAGCTCTGCTCTTCCCCGTCCCGGTTCCGGGGTCCTGGGCTGGGGGTGCCTCCTGACTTGGGCTGGAAGTTGTCAGACAACTGGCACCCAGTCTCGCTTGTCTGCCGCTCGGTACACGGGGCGGCCGGGAGCCAGCTCTCCTGGGGCCACAAAGCCGGTTCCTCAGCTCTCACACCCCAGGCTCTCTCTGTAAACCACATGGGCCTCCAAAACAGAGCTCTGTGTCTATATATGTTCTCGTTGCTGTGGCCGTGCTGGGTAAGCCTTCTCTTTCCTGGAATTTTCTGCTGTGATTAAATGAAGGCAACTTGCTTCTGTGGGTCGAATGCAGCCACATTAGAAAAGTCAGGAAGTGTAAAGTATTAGGAACTTACACCCCGTAAGCTCACACTTGGAGGTAGTGGTTCCACTTGGCCCATTTAACCTTTGGCTGTTCTTTAATCCTTTCTTCAACTAAATATCTGTCATGGTAGTTTTTACCCCCACAAGCACCCAGTACCTAGCTTACAAGCGAAGCAATAGTGACCGTCCCCCCACGACATTTGCTGAAATTGTTTTTGTTCGCACGATCATTTTTTGTCACAGAAAATGGACGTGGACGGTCAGCCGCCCAAACACAGCACCCCTGGTGGTGACCCGCAGAGGGTCACCTGTCCAGCTGTCCCAGACGGGCAGCAGCAGCCTAGTTTGGAGACGTGGCGCCCCAATGTTGTGGCGCCCCAAATGCTGCGACGCCCGGTTCCTTCCAGGGCCAGATTTCGCGACCTGGGGGTGTCTCTGGACAGCTCACGCAGTCAACGAAGAGCTCAGAGCTTTAATCACGCAGGTTTAGGTGACAGAAGAAGGGTTAGACCGTGGGAGACGTCGGGGCCCTCCTCAGCTGGGAGAGGAAGGGGACAGCGAGCAAAGCTAGTCAGGGCTCGTGTCGTGACCCTGAAGTGACCGTGTCGCTTCATTCCCGGGAGCCTCGGACGGGTTTTCACGTGCCCATCACACAGACGAGAAAACTGAGGATCGGAGGAAGGAGGGGCCCTGCGAGGGCGCCCCCTCACAGCTCACTCCTGGCCAGACGCCTCCCAGCCTGGCCGGGAGCATGCCGGTGTCTGGATTAACCATCTGCGGGTGCTGAGAATTGCGCTTGCAACGAAGCCCAGAGCCCAGCGTGCTGCCCCCTGCCTGACTGGCCCCCAGGCCCGCCTCCCCTCCTGTCCATTTCCCGCCGACGCCAACGCCTTGCTTTCTTACGTTCCCGCTGTCCCAAGCTTGCTTCCTCCCGGGGCCCCTGCACTGATGCCCGGGACACCCCACCAGATGGTTGCGCACTGTTTCTCCCCTTCACATCTCAGAGCAAGAGGCGGCTCCTGCGGAAGCCGCCCTGACCACCCCTGGCCACCCAGCGGGGTGCCACTCCGCGCCTGTGCCCACGGCACCAAGGAGGAGCTGGCCCGGCGAGGCTTCTGGCGGCAGCGTGGCAGGACGGGGTGGGGTGGGGGGGCGCCAGGACTGGCAGCCGCCGCGGCGGCAGCAAACAGTCCCCGGCCACCTCCGTTCCCGGCGCCGCGCTCAGGGTGGACAGCCGCCAGGGGCAGTGGCTCTCAGCCCGCCGCCAGGGAGCCCGCTGGGGAGGCGCGTGGCGCTGGGGCGGCTCGCAGGCGTCTCATAGGGACTTGATCTGGGGGTGCTGGCGCAGGCGCTGACCGGAGGCAGAGGAAGGCGGCGTGTTGGATTCTGGGTGCAGTGGTGGCAGCAGTCTATTTTTTTAAAGATTTATTTGTTTCTGCATACAAGAGCGAGGGTGTAGGCCAGAGGGGTGTGTGTGTTGGGGGGAAGGGGGAGGATTCAGCAGAGATAGAGTGGGGAGCAGCACAGGCGGATCCTCTGAAATGCACTGCTGAGGGGAGCAGCGGGGAGACAGGAGGGGTCTGCTGCGCCCTGGGGGTCACCCCCTGGCCGGGGTCCACTCCTGCTGCAGTGGCTGCTGCCCACAGACAGCTTCTCAGTGCTGAGTCTTAACCCCTTGCGCCACCAGGGAGGCCCCAGAGGAAGCATTGTTGAATAAGTTCCAAGAAGGCCTTTCCCTCAAGGGCCTGTTTTAGACAGCAGCCATGAGGGGGAAGGAAAATGAGTCAGGCCTGCAAGGAAGAAGGGAAGGAGCTCGGAAACGCAGGCGGAGTAAGACGTCTCCTCTGGGGAAACCGCAGGACAAAGGCAGCTTGGAGACTGCTCATCCACCTGACCCAGCAGCGAGCAGGACGGGGGGTTCGCTACAACCAAAAAATCTGGGCCACCCCCCACTCCACCACCACCGCCCTCGGCCCTCCACCCCCCGCTGGGACTCCAGCTTAAGGACTTTGTCTCACGCCGCTACAGGCTTGGCGTGTTCCCGGCACAACAGTAGTGAACAGAAGCAGTTCGTGAGCACCTGCGATCACTCTGAGTGGGGACAAAGTCCAGTCACGTCAGCCGCGATCGCGGGGCTCTGCTTCTCCGACGGACAGTGAAGGACACACAGCCAGTGCTCAGAGGTGATGCGCTCTCGGGAGCAGGACCGGGGGGGCGGGGGCCAGTTCCCCTGAGAAAGTGGCCGTGGGAGCTGAGGTCTGGCGTGAGCAGGACTTGCATCAGGAGTGGGAGTGAGGAAGAGGAGGAGGCACAGGAAGAGCGTGTGCGGGCTGAGGTCGGAGGGCGTGAGTGTGTGAGTGCCAGTGTGTGTGCCAGTGAAATGCGTGCAGAGCGGGGAACTGAAAGAGGACAGGAGGGCTGGGGAGAAGTAAACTCGGCATCCGGGTCTTGATTTCTGCGGGGCTGCTGTTTACATCTGGTTGCTGGGTGGAAGGAGCCCTGCAGGGAGGCAGGAGGAAGCCGAGGCTAACCAAAGCCTGCCGCCCAGTCCTGGGGGGATGCTCTGTGCTCAGATGTGGGTGGAGGTTGGATTGAGGGGAGCTGCAGGGAGGAGCTGGTGAAGGATTGTTTAGCCTTTGAGGTCAGTCTTGAAGGAAGGGCAGGGCGAGCGTTGCCGGAGAAGGCGCTCTGGAGCGGAAGCAGGAGCACAGCGAGCTGGTCCTCACGCTTTGATGCCCGGAGCCGCGCCCGGCGGCCACAGCGCCAAGCAGAACCAGGTCTGGCCGGGCCCTGGCAAGGCCACCAGTGAAGCTGCAGTTTTATGCCCCTTCATCCTCCTTCCTATTGGGGTGGCGGCCCCTCTCTGGATGCAAGGTGGGCCTGGCTGCCCTTGCTGGCTGTCTATGAGCCCATATGGTCTCTGCCTGACATTCTGCCTGGATTTTCCACAAGTTAACCTGAAAAAGCAAAGTTGCAGATGCTCAGAGTTAAACCTAAGCGGGAACCTGAGGTGTCCTTTGCTTTGGTGGCCTCATGTAGAGCGTGGTGGTACCTGAGAACAGAGTGGTTAAGCAACTGGCCTAAGGCCACACAGCAGCAGGCGAGAGTGGGGCTTCCCACGCGAGTCTGTGTGGCTCTGACACCTGCCATTGCCCGTTCACTGCACAGACTCCCCACACCCAAGTCTGTTTCGTACCCTGGTCAGCCACAGTCCTGCTATAAGCAGGAACAGCAAACGCAAGTGATGACGGGGTTGGAAAGAAATAGAAAGAAACGAGCGGCTAGCATTTGGGAGTGGTGGAGCCTGTGGCGTGCAGCCAGTTTTAAGCATCACTGGCTGGGTCAGGCCAAGAACTCTGCTGCTGTGTCTGTCCCCGGCTGGGGGCTTAGCGACCCCAGCCTGGCTTGTGTTGCAAAACAAAACATAGCAGGCGGGGGTGGGGGTGCCGGGGGTGGCTGGGCATTCCTGTGCGAAGCAGGACTCGGCTAACAGACCGTCCCTGTCCGCCTATTGTTGAGTCCAGACCGGTGCACGCTCCTCATGGTCTGAGCTCTCTATCTGCTCCGCTTGACCCCTGTCTCCCGGACAGGGCAGGCCGGTATCCTGGCTCAATCCCGCTTCCTGTTAGTTTCATCTCTCGCAAGCCCCTGCTCTCGTGTCCCCTGACCATGGAACAGTGGTGGCCCGGGCTCAGAAGAGGGGAGAGCAGGAGACGCTTTCCCGCAGAGCAGCCCAGAACATCGGCGTGTCCGTGGGGCGGTAAGTCAAGCTGAGAGGTTCGCGCCCTCTCAGCAGGAAGCAGGGCGAAGCAAGAACCGAAATGAGGCCACAGACCGCAGGGAGGTCCGAGGGGGCCTCGCCCCCGCCCCCCGTCCTCGCCGAGCATGCCCAGCCGATGAACGCTTTCCGTCTGGTGAAACACACCTGTGGAAGCTTCCACAGTTATGGATCTTCAGTGCTATGACTCCTTCTCACCGGTGCCACGCCTTCCAAGAATTCTTAGTTTTAGAAGAAGGCGGCAGAATTGTTTATACTTCCCCTCTAAGGGTCGGGACAGTTCGACGTGAATCACTTATTTAAAAAAGCTCACAGGGTAAATAACAGAAATAACTCAAACCCTCGGATGGAGGGGAAGTGCGAACCCTGAGGCCTGGACGGGTTTCCTGGGTGGGGAGGCCAGGTCAGGGGGACGACCCCTAGGGCGCTTCGTGAGGCAGCAGAGTCCAGACCAG